CAGGAGTTGTTTGCTTGATGGATTTGGATACATAATGAATTTTGTCCTAACTTTATTGTTTACTTCATATATTTAGGGGTAACAAATCCGTGGGACCCACAAACTTTGAGAGTCTAAATTTGTGTGCTCTATGGACTTGAAAATCCTACCCGGTTAAGTGGGTAATAAAAGTCAATAAAAGTCAATTTCACTTCACATAGAAATCGAATTAGCAAAATCCATCATTGAAACAAACAATGGCGTTTTCAAGTCCATAATGAACCCAAAACCCACGTATTATCCATGGCTTTTTAAAACTTAAAGTTTCACCATAACTTTCATTTTTCAAATCCACGAAGCAAACAACCCGTTAATGAGTATTGGGTCAGATTCAAATGAACTTATGTACACTCTCAGGAGGAGTTGTTTGCTTGATGGATTTGGATACATCATGAAGTTTGTTCAACTTTATTGTTTGCTTCATATATTTAGGGGTAACAAATCCGTGGGACCCACAAACTTTGAGAGTCTGAATTTGTGTGCTTTATGGACTTGAAAATCCTACCCGGTTAAGTGGGCAATAAAAGTCAATAAAAGTCAATTTCACTTCACGTAGAAATCTAATTAGCAAAATCCATCATTGAAACAAACAATGGTGTTTTCAAGTCCATAATGAACCCAAAACCCTCATATTATCCATGGTTTCTCAAAACTTAGGTTTCATCAAACCTTTCATTTTTCAAATTCACGAAGCAAACAACCCGTTAGCTAGGCTAACTTCATTGTTCCTGCAGGTTTGTCCTGTGTTATATGATCAAATGATGAATAACAAATATCATAATAAGCTCTATCTGCTCTGCACGACATGGAAGGTACGTGAGGGAGAGAGGGATTTGTCAACGAAACAAGCAACTCGTACAGCTTCGTCCATAGCTTTCCATTCCCATGAAAACAAACAACGAAACCCTAAACCAACACGTACAAAGCCAAAACGAGCTAGCTTTCATTGGCGATTCGCTGGCTGGATCCATGAAAATTAACGAGTTAAGCCTTCAACGTCCACGTTGTTGTATTCATTCTTTGGCTTCTCATGTTGCTCCCATTTATGGAAGAAAAAAACCCCACCACCATGAAAGGAGAACGACACAATAAGGCCAAAGCTATCATTGTTCATTTTTGAAACTCTCTTGTTGTAACATCCCTGATCTCCATCGTTCTATATGTTATATACACGTACGTTTTAGTTTGTACTTCATCGGCACCAAAGCAAAGGTAGCAAATTAAGCGGACTAAAAGGGTTAATTGTATGGTTGGTCACTGAGATTACAAAAAGCGTTCATGTTTGGTCACTAGAAATATTTAAATCCAACCTTGGTCACTCAAATTAGTAAAATGGTTCAAATTTGGTCACTCTCCGTCCAACTCCGTTAAATTTGTCTGATGTGGCAGTCAACCTTCAAAGTTGACCGTTAACTCGGTGACGTGGCAATTAAAAAATAATAAATAAAATAAATTTTAATTTTCTACCATTTCCAACTCATTTTCACAATAAAGTAAAATAAAAAAAAAAAAAAAAATTCAAACCCAAATCAGCCACGCCAAATCACAGTAGCCCCATATATACAATCCATCCTAAAAGCACGACCATGAAGAGCAAGATCAATCCCAACATCTACACATTCAACTCCCTTCATAACAGATGGAGGCAACGACCAAATTCCGAGATTTGATTAACCAGGCATTAAACCTTTACAGATTGGATGCGCGGGAACAAGAAGGTGACGAACGAGTTGAAGATTCCGCAGATTAGAAATGCAATCTAAGAAAGAGAGAGAGAGAGAGAGGAAGTGAAAGAAGACGTGAGAGGAACGAAGTAAACACGCTGGTCATTGTCGGAGGATTCTGGTCGCTGAATTGAATCTGAGAGATCTTCGGACACGCCGTTGTCCATTTTAATTATCGGCGACTCCCAAATCAAACGGGAAAGAGAACAGAAAAAAAAAAAAAAAAAAAAGGAGGAAATTTTTTTGCGAAAAAGGGAGAAAAGGAATGGAGAGATTAGATTTAGGGCAATGGAGAAGGGGGCGAATAATGCAGAGAGAGAGGGCGGGAGATCAGTCTCCCAGAAGAGGGAATGGGGACTGGAGGGAGATGGCCGATTTCAGAGCTTTCAGAGCCGAAACGTCTTGTGGGGAAGTGAGAGCTGTTAGACAGGGTAGAAAGGGTTGAACGCAGAGAACAATTGGAAGAAGAAGAAGGAGGAGGAGGTGGGAAATGGAGGAAAGCTGCATTTTTCTTTTGTTTTCGTGTTATTATAATAAGTTTTTTATTTTTTTTATTTTACTTTATTGTGAAAATGAGTTGGAAATGGTAGAAAATTAAAATTTATTTTATTTATTATTTTTTAATTGCCACGTCACCGAGTTAACGGTCAACTTTGAAGGTTGACTGCCACATCAGACAAATTTAACGGAGTTGGACGGAGAGTGACCAAATTTGAACCATTTTACTAATTTGAGTGACCAAGGTTGGATTTAAATATTTTCAGTGACCAAACATGAACGTTTTTTGTAATCTCAGTGACCAACCATACAATTAACCCCGGACTAAAATGTACGCCTAATGTACGCCAGACCGTAAATTACCAATCGTGCGCAGATCATCGTCCGAACCAGTATGGTGCAAAAATATTATGAAAATAATATGTCGATATGATCTGTGAAGCTTAAATCAACCGACGAGCATTTTTATTTTTATTTTTACAGTTGAAACGATATCATGTTATTTGAATTTATCACTATTTTTTTTATCAATGATGTAAAACGAGTATATTAGTAGTGGAACTTGGATAATATCACTAAAATATTATACCTCTAGGCGCTACCTTGTCCGGTATGCCTTCTTGGTTCGGTTACGAAGTCAACTATTTCGGTCCTAACCTGGTTCATCGTAAGTAACTACGTACATCTCAGTTTTGACCAATTTCGTAAACAATTTCAAAAGGAAGCATCAGACTTTCTTCCTTAAACCATAGTTAAGGCTTATACTCATATGCGAATTTTATACACATTTTCGAGATTATTCCAACTTATGTATATCTAATAAATTTATGGAAATAAGCGATATGTACTCGTAAGGAAATTATTGAATAATTAATATAGAACCTTAGAACTAGGGGTGGCTATACGGTCCGGTCCGGTTAAATTGGCCCAAATTGATCCGGTCCAGTCCGGTTTTTTTGAAAATATAAGGACCGAAGATTGGATTGGATACAGTCCGGTCTTGATCCGGTCCGGTCTTGACCCGGTCCGGTCCCAATTCGGTCTTGATTTTATATTGAGATTGTGGGAATTTGAGTGGCCTAAGGCCTAAAAGGGTGAGGAGTTGGTTAAGTTTTGTACTAAGTGCAAAGGTTTGTGACCGTTTATGCAAATTACCCTTAACTTTTGGGTGTTGAGCTCTCTTATCCGGTCTTTATCCGGTTTTTTACCTCAAATCTAAGCCCAAAGACTGGATTGGATTGTTTACTATCCGGTCCCGGTCCGGTCCCGGTCCGGTCTCGGTCCGGGTTATACGGTCCGGTTTCCGGTTTTTCATCCGGTCCCGGTCCAAATAGCCATCCCTACTTAGAACATGGTGTGTCAACCCTCATAAGTCATAACTACTTTATCAGCTTTGCCCATGCCAGCAAAACCATAAGTTACGAGATAAGCAATGGGGGGCAGTGATGTCAGTGCGATGTCACGTTGCATATTGTGAAATTGACTTTTTTGGGTTGTGATAATGGCGACACTATTAAGCCGATGAAATCGAGAGAAGCCAACACTATCAAATCGCTCATAATCTGGAGCCCAATTAACTTAAAGCAAGCAAATCCAGTTGTTGCCAGCCAACCCAACTTTAATTTGATTGATTTTGCAGTTACCACTACTAAGTTCAATTTCATGGGAAAGAGAAAGCAAGCAACAATTGACCTTCAATAACAGTTCCTTTCGGTCACTATAACCACTACACCGATTCATTTTATACTATTCGACTGATAATATGGATTCCATTTAGCGGTCGACTATTGACAGCGACGAGATACGAGAATTAATACACAAAAATCCGAGGTATCATATTAGAGAATGATTCGCAGAGCTCTTACTGTCAAACAATGTTACTGTTTTGCTTGCTGGCGTCAAACAGAGTCTAATTGTAGTCTGTTTAATTTAGGATAGGATAAATTGAATTAATGGCCTGAATTGGACCAAGTCTCAGCCTCATTTAGCTATTGGATTTGGAAGTTCCATTCAACATCCTCCAAAGTCCCAAACCGAAAAATATGGTTTCTAATGAATACTGGGTTCCAAAATGTGGAGCTTTCAAGTTTCGTTTTCCCATTTCAGATAGCTGTCATTGTCCATAAACCCCATTGGGAACTCCAAATTTGACCATCTCCTGCAACAAATCTTAAATCGATATTCAATGCTGCAACAATAAGACAAGGACGCGAGTTAGGAATATGAAAGCAGGCCAGCTTGACAGATTAAAGCACCATTCCTAATAAGCTTCTTGATAAGGAACTCTTAACTGGAGTCCACCACTGCACCTTTCCACCACTGCATTTCACAACACCAACAGATTAAAGGGATGGGTAGTAGAAATTTTACAGATACAGCACCTGAAATTGCAGAGATATATGTATGTATTGATGACATTTTCTGATACTACTACTGGGACCTAATATGAAACCTGGCAGGCAACAGCTCTAAGAGCTTATACATATACTACTACCACAACAAAATGGGTACATAACATAACAACACTCATACAACATTCCTCAAGAGAAGATCATTTGACAAGTAACTGGCAAAACTAGAGAAAGGTCTGGTTTGTGTCTCCTTTTGATCATCCTGCTTCCCGTTCAAATACTCAAATTCTTCACTCCATCCAAGCTTTGACCTGTCCTTGACTCTTCCGTGACATCTTCCGCATTGCCTCCTGCAGTCTTCTTCTTCTTCTTCTCTGTTTCTTTCATACTACCAAATACTAAGATTCTTCAGTCCATCCAAGCTTTGACCTGTCCTTGACTCTTCCGTGACTTCAGCATTGCTTCCTGCAGTCTTCTTCTCTGTTTCTTTCATACTATCAGCTACTGTGCTAGGAGGGGCTGGGATGACAGCAGTAGGGGGAACCTTATCCTCCTCTTTCTTGACTTCGACACAAGACTCTTTCTTAACTTCTTCAGAACAATCTTTCTTGGATTCAACCGGAACTGCTTTAGGCTCAACCGGCACACTCGGAGTGAGTTCTTTCTTAACTGCTACAGGGGAAGGAGCAGCAGCAAACACCGGCACGGCCTGCCTTATGGTTACAGGGATGACGTTCCTTCCCATGGGTGGTGCATGAACCGCCTGATGAGTGGGAACCATTGAAGGCTGCTGGTGACGTGGGGGAGGAGCAGCATAACATGGTACTGCATGTCTTATGGTCACCGGTTGAACAGCATATGGCTGCTGCATAGGGATATACGGTCTGTTGGCTCCTGTTGCTGCTGCTGCTGCTGCATGGAGCTTCTGATGACCCCAAAGATCCAGGACATTTGGTGGCTGTCTGAGCCCTAGTAGACGACTATCATTTGTTGAGGTGGGTCTAGGAGGGGCAAATCTGTCACTTGTCGTTGTTGAAGTGGATCTACAGTGCTGAGAATGTCTCTCATTTGATGTGGGTACCATCATAGATCTATTCCTACTTGTCTTGGGATAAATGAGGGGTAGGATTCTCGATGTTGTTGCGGGAGCAGGTTGAGGACTGGTCGGCCTTGGGCTTTGAGGTGCAAACTTCTTTTGAAATGGAATTGGGACTTTAGAAGAGGAATTGTTTGCTATTGTCATCATTTCCTTCATACGGTAGTTCTGCAAGGCACGTGCTATCGTTATCTGCTCCAGCTCATCGCTGCCCTCTGGTTCAGATGCTGAACTGGACTCTTCCTTAGCCACTGGATCAGGAAGAAAAAATAATAAGAAAGAACTCAACTGTTAGCAATTTGCGCCGAAGATAACTGTATCAGTCTATCAGATGGTAAGAGCTACTGCAGCTACCGCATGAATGGAAAGAGATAAATACAGACTTACATTGTTTAAGGGATGACCAAGCTGCCATTGCAGCATTTTTCTCGGCTTGTTTTTTGTTCTTGGCTGGATCTCCTGTGAAACTAATTCCAGCCAATTCTACTATCCCCGTAAAAACAGGTTGGTGACCAAGACCGGACCTATATGTTGTGTACTGTGGCAATGGAGCACTGACTCTCTGAGCGATCTCCTGCAAGAGATTCTTGTACACCCCCGTTTCATCCTGCGAGAGAGTAACAATGCATTCAAGTATAGACCTAAACAGGTCAAGAACTTGATAGCATATAACTATGTGTTGCCAATTTAATATTTTCCAAGCCTCCAGACTAAAGGAAGATATTAGGAGCAGAGCCATGCGTTCCACAAGCGTTTTGCAGAATTCCAGTCTAGTGTGAAACCAGAGTTGGTATATGGATCCCAACAAACAAAAGTATGGCAACAAAAAAACATGGCCAGGGCAGTGATGAAGAAAGGAATATTCACCGAGTAACAGGGAGAGTAGTAAGTGGGTATGAACTTAAGACTTTCTCATCTGCATTTAAGATTCCAACTATTTTTCCCCGCAATAGAATATTGGAGAGCTCTCACTAAAGTCTTTCATGTCAATATTCAACACCAATTTTCAAGACAATAGTTTAAATTGAACCTCACCAAGATAGCTAACAAATCTACAGTACTAGTCACCGAATTCAATAATCAAATGGCTGGAAGAAGACTCAACAAGCATTGTTAACACGCCATATTTCCCTAAACCTCCAGATGGATCACAAAATTTCAACCATTATCTGTTGGTCAACTGAGAAGATAAGTCTTGGAGAGAACCAAAAATCCAGGCTTCATTTCAACTAATACACCCAAGTCAGAACTTCAAATTTCAGTTCATTGGTTCGCAGTCATAAAGCCAGCACATCCAAAGCTTGAATCAAAAGATGACCTTAGACAGGAGCACTGTCAAAGTTGAGACATTTCCCTCTTGGTAAATTTTTTCCACAACTTTTAGTATCTAGATTACGTAAGAAGAACATATAGAAGCTTTTCTGGACAACTTTCCTCCGATTTCTCAGCAACCAATCAGGGAAAACGTGGATTCATGATGGAAAGCTCAGGCATTTCAGTGAGACACTAATACCCCCCAGCTGGAGAAACCAATTACTCAAAGCTCTTCCCAAAAACGCAGAAACAAAAGCAAGGACCAGATTCCGTCCTTGGTTAAGGCCACCAAACAACATGACCCGTATCCACACGACACTAGACAAAGTAAAACAAAGAAACGGAAAGCAAAAAGGAAACGAGCCCAAAGATACCATTTCTACTGGTCCGGTCAACTAAAGTTCAGCAAAGCAAGTCGTTTGCAGCCTAAGTTGAAATCCAAGGCACAGCAACAACAGAATGGAGGAAAAGGGCGTTTCAATCCATTCACCAAACCCACCCACCTACCTACCCACAATCTAATATCGCCGGCGGCGGCCGGGAATCCTGCCGATAACCCCGATCACGAACCGAAGACGGGAAGTAAAATCAAACCAGCAAACAGCAGAGCAAGCAAAAGGCAGGTCAAACGTCGAGCAGAAAACAGAGATTTCACCACCGACAAGAAGTAGATGAAAGCACATACCAGAATGCGGGCGGCGAGGGAGTGAGAAGGCCCGCGGTGGGAGAGGGATCCGAGCGCGACCTCGGCGGCGGAGTGCTCGGCCTGGCGGAGGGTGGAGCAGTAAGAGGGGCTCTCGAAGATCTCGCCGTTGAAGTTGACGGTGGCCTTGAAGCGCGGCGCGTGGTCGGGACCTTCCCTAATGCAAGTATAGGAAGGGAGGTTGAAGCAGCTCCGCTGCGCCAGCTCCTGAAGCTGGTTCTTGTACATTTCTTCCCCTTTGCCTACTCAGCACGAATCTTCTCCTCTCTTGTCGTCACTCTTCCCCGCCGCTTCCCATATCCGATTCTTCGGAGTTCCCGGCGAGTGGGTTCGAATCGGGTCCCCGATCGGCGAAATGGGTCGGGGGGGAGATCGAGCGAGCTCTACTGGGTTTGTTTTGGTTTTTAGGGTTTTGATGTCTTTGCAGATAGAGAGAGAGAGAGATGGAGAGGGAGACAAATGGGGGTGGAGGGAGTAATGAGTAAATCTGATAGTGCGGGGAAGGATCAAGGAAGGAGAGAAAGAAAAATGGATTTTTCTCTGTTTTTCATAAACAATTAATATTTGTAGGTTCTTTAATGTTTGTTGCTTTTATTTCGTTCCATTTTTTAATAAATTTTGTCAAGAAAATTGGAGAACTTATTAAATATTTTATTTAATGAGTTTTATGTGGTTTAAATAGGGATGGTAATGGTTGGGTTGGGTCGAGTTTTTTTAACCCCAAATCCAATATAGCGGATGCATTTATTAAAAAAACACGTTAAATATGTATTGGGTTTCAGAATAGCAAATCCAAACACAACTCAATGGGTAATCATGGCCATGGATTTTATGGGTATCCATGTGTCAACCTTATGAACATAACTATACATTGTTTCTCCAAACACCAGTAACATTCATAAATAAATTCATATTATTAGGTTTATACTATCATACATACTAATAACATCCATAAATTATCCATATTTTTCGTGTTAGATACATATGACGTTGTTATGGTGTTTGGGATGCTGATATGATAGAAAACAGGTTGAATTTTGACAAAACTCAAACTCAACTTAATCCGCCAATTTTAAAGTGGGTCGAACCCGACTCAACCTAAATATCATCAATACCGAATGTTACTGATTTTAACTAGATTGGGTCGGATTGGATACCCAAATTTGGGTCAACTGTCAATAGTCATCCCTAGGTATATTGCTTTATTGGGGGTGGGGAGTCAACTGAACGATGAGGCTTTTTGCATGGGGTTTCGATCTCCTTTTTCTGCTTTCCTCTACATTTTTGCCTCCTCTCCTTTATTTTTACTCGGTTTTGCTTTTCTCCTTGACTCATTCACTACGAACTAAAAAAGTGGTGACATGATCACACGCATTTGATTCTTCCATTCCATCAGCATGCTTAATCGTTACCTTATAATCACGTCGGCGAATCGTTGAACTCGATTACAAATTTTGTAAACGATCTGTCTTAATATATGCACTTCAATAATTTTAAGATGTAAACGAGAGTTTACGACGACAACACTCTCAAGCACCGATATTCGTGTCTAACCTTCTTGTACCCCCAACCGATTGAAAACGGTAACTACAAGTCAATATGAGAAAGCAGCACTCACATACTTATTAACCAATTTTGCATCATTTTGTGACAGAGTACCAAACCACAAGCCCCATTTGTCGTCGTTCTGTGAGAGAGGACTGTATATATAGTACCACTATGGATTTGGGGAATCTGGACTTAGACGTGAAGTACCAAACTGCACAGCTCCAACGGGAATCCATTATCGAAAGAAATTCTCGATAGTGGAGTCAATTCATGCACGTGATTATGTCTTCACACGAAGATGAGCCATAAGTCCATAGGTCACAAACTCACAACACAACGAATTTCATCATCGTGGTGTTAATGGACAGAATGGTGTCAATTTTGCTGCAATGTTCATAAGTCATAACCTCACCCATCAAATTGCTTGCTGGTCGTTTGACAATATCGTTGCTTAACGAGACTTCGTTAGTGATGGCAATTTGAAACCGCCCCGTAGGTATTACCCGACCCGCAACAGCGCCGGGCGAGGTATGGGTATCTACTTCCGACCAGCCCTGCTCCGTTCTAGACCCATTTTATCGCAATTTCTTACGATATCTATACATATTTATCCTATTGACTTATTCAACTAGTTAGAGTCAATATTTCAACTTGTTAGACTTAGGGGTGTACATGGGTCGGTTGGTTCGGGTTTAAGTATTTTAATCACCCGACCCATGCACCACGGTTTGGGAATTATCAAACCCAAACCCATCCAAAAAAATTTAAACCCTACGGTTTGTTTCTAATTGGGTTGGGTCGGGTTGGTGATATTATTAAGTAAAAACCCAACCCAACATAAAATATATAATTATTATACACCATAAAAATATTTTATAACTAATTAAAATTTCAAACAAATAAACCGAGGTGAAAGGTATCAAAATTCACAAATGTTGTTTGAGTTTTAATAAAATGTGATTTACTTCAACATATGTCTAGTTTTTTTCACGATATTTGTTGAAATAGGCTAAAAAGGTTATAAACAAATGCATCCATAATATATTATTCTATTAAAATTGTACACAAGAAAAATGATTACGTGAATCATAATTATAATTTATGTCTAAACTTTAAGTTGAAGAATGCATTAGATTAGGGAGACCATGATAGAAAAACATGGCGAAATATCTTAATTTTCACATAAGTATGGCTATATACGACAAATATTTTTTAGATACGAACTCATACTAATAGTTGGAACACGGGTTGGGTCGGGTTCTACGGGTTGTGTAATCCAAAATCCAAACCCAACCCAAAAGAGGCGGGTTGCACAAAAGAAAACTCTCACCCAACCCAAAACCTCCGTTTTAGCGATAAATACGGGTGGGTTGGGTCGGGTTGGACGGGTGGGTCGGTTTGCGGGTGTGTTTGTTCACCCCTAGTTAGACTCAATTACTCCTTCTATTATCAATATTTTTCTTTCATAAAGTATTTTTCCCTTTGTTTTATCGTAAAAAGTAAAATTTGCGTGTAACATAAAAGAGTGGACCGACCCGCCCACCCAGTACCCACACAAATTTTACCCGCCCCAGCCCACAATATCGTGAGACGGAGCATGAGAATTGAGGCACCCCACCCCATTGCCATCACTTTACTTCTCTCCGCCTCCCTCTCTCACATTATATCTATTCCCATTTTTGTGAGCAATTTATTAACATGTAAAGGAAGTAACACGAAACTCGACCACAGACATAGCCCGCTCCCACATATAACGAGTAGAATTAAATACGCTGTTTGACATTGTTGGAAGGAGCAAAGCAAGTCCACCTAATTTATTTAACTACAAAATTCAATGTAGTAATAATTCATTAGACATAAAAAAAAATATGACCATTTGAAAGTTCGAAACCAGATCGCATCATTCACACTTCAAGTTTCACCCAAGTGGGTAAGATGGGTCTGCCATAAACTTGACTCGAACATTGTGACCAACAATCATCGAAAACACGAAGTGAACCGCATCGAAGCAGGACACGAGGAGCTAGTAGGCAGATTAACAGAGCATGCAAGGGAGCTAATGCACAAGTACAGACGCTAAGTAGAGTACAAATTTATCCATCAGTGAACTGAACAAATTGGCTGCTAACTGAGCTACCGGACCGCACTCAGGCTGCGCGGCTTATAGATCGGCGAGAAAAAGAACAGTGAGGAGCAGACTAAAGCTATTAGATTTATTCAACAGACTGGACATGGAAAGGAGGGAAAAGAGCAGTACTCGTGTACAAAAAAGAATGATTTAACAGATTACTTAGGGAGGGATAGGAATTGGATGTCACCAGGAGAAGGGGCTTGCTCCCAGTAGAAAGATCTCATTCTCAACATCTTTCACCCATTGGCACACCTTGTTGCACGTCTTTATAGCCAGCGCCTGCAAATTTTCGGTTTCAGCGGACCAAAATAACAGAAGTTTCAAGCTTGTGAAACAGAAGCAGGAACAGAAACATGCCGACGAGAGAGGGAAATAAATAGAGATGTCTAACCTTGTCTGCAAGTGGATCGAAGGCCGCGTATAGTTCAAAATCAGGGGTGACCCAACAGAGCAAAACTGCCACGGAAAAGAAGCAGAGATTCTCACCACAGGAACTTCTTGCTGTACATCTTAATTCAAATTATCTAATAGAAACTATTTGAGCTGGTGGGAAAACAAGTTTACCATAGTTCTCATCTCTTCTGAACTGAGTTTTGTGTGGTCCGATTCCTTTGCTATGCATTGAAACATATAGCTTCTGGTAAGCTCTGTACAATCTGCCACGAGAAAGCATCCATGTCAAGCACAAAACTAGCTGGGAGGAGGTCAAACAAAAAGGATCAATTACGACGAAGGAAATTCCGCTCAGAATTACCTTTTCTGCTGCCGGTGGGTATTAATTGGTGAGGAGAACTCAGATGACACATACTGATCAAGATACACACTGCGATATAAGAAATGCCAAAGTCCAGCAGGACCACCAAGGCCAACAAGTGATGATTCCCTGATTCTTTCAGGAGTCTCAGTGTGTGGCTTATCTTCAACACGAGAAGTAGATCCAGTATGCTGCTGTAGATCAACAGATAAATCTTCAACGCGCATCCCACCATCTAGTGTGGATCTCTGAACTTCGCTAAGTACATTTGACTTCAGAAGTACCGTTTCAATACGAATCCTAAAAAAATTTGGCCAAACTTTAAAGATCTCATCACATGTGTATTTGCAGTTCTCTTGAAAGAAATAAGAAAGAGCAAATAAAAGAAATTCTGCTGCGAGGCCACATTGATTATAAACTAGGAACTGCAGGAAGACTTACCTGCAATCTTTAAGATGGTAGAAAGCATCTGAACGGGTTGTTAGCAATATCAGGTACGTGTCAGCCTGCAGGTAAGGTTTGTAAATGACAATGGTCAGCATTGAAAAGTGGTCATGGGCACTATATGCTAAATTGGAAAATAAAGACTACATAAGAAATAATGGATTGGTCACCATTCAACAATTCTTACTCACATCAAAATAATGGACATAAGCATGCAAAAATGCCATAGGATTGTATCTTGGTAAGCAAATTGGTGAGAAAGATTCAGAAGTCCTGCACAAGCCCAGTAACTAAGTAAGCTAAAACATATCCACCCTCAACAACAGTCATTATACAGTCAAGCACGAATAATCAGAACAATAATCTCGACCTCCTTTTAAACTACCAGTAAAGCTGTACAAGGACGACCGTATTAGCAAAATATATTTGTACTACTCATGTTGACACGATCAGCTTAGTTTCCAGAAGACAAAGTCAAGCCTTCTTGAAGTCAAGTACACTTGCCTAAAGGACTCAGACGACATTATAAAATTTCCAAGTAGCAGCATGTCATCGGGATGAAGAGAAGCTTTCTGGGCGCCAACAAGACTGATAACCTGAATTTTAGTTTCAAGTAAAATATTACTCTAGCAAATCAAGGAAATCTGACAACAAGAAACAACTGCAACTTTTAAAGAGGTACCTACTCTATGTTTACACATTAATAACGCAAAGAGGACACCAGAATCAGCAACATCTTGCAATATAGCACCAGCGGCTTGTCTTGTTGCATAAGGAAGAGGAAGACAAGCGTATGCATGAAGAAATGCAGCTGGATTCCTGATTCAAGAAAGAGTACCAACATTCATTAACTACCAATTTCCAGAAAGACGGAAGAAGAAATTAAGAAGACCTAAAAATGTCAATATACTCAATTACATGAAGTTCACTTATGCCAAGGAAAATTCGTCTTTTTCATTTTTGCCATCTTAATTGGTATGCACTGTGATTTTCTCATCATACAACTGGTGCATCAAAAAGGTATTGCAACTTACCAGTTATCCGACTAATCTACCTACACCTCTACGCTTTTGGAATTTTTAATTACCAATTACATGCTTTGATCGAATTACCCTCAATTAACCATAACACTCCAACCAAGGGAGTTCGGAATTGAGATTCACACTTTTAAATTAAAAGGTAAGGGGAAGAGGCACATACCAACTAAATGAGTGGATTAGGGCTGAGAAGACAACATCTGTTCCTCCAAGCAAGGGTGTCATGTCAAACTTCGGGTTTTTCTCGAAACATCTATTTAACGATTTGGTTAAAATGAGAATCATCTGCATCCATTTAATAATTAATTCATGAGACTTGTATGATGACTCCGGCAAGTAAGTCCTCCACATTGAAAACCACTAGGAAAATCAATGCACTAAGAAGTCAAATGGTGGAGAAGCTTCAAGTACCTGACCATATACAAGCTCCAGTTGTGCAACCAGAGACTCGAACGGTTCTTCTGTACAGCTGATGCATACAAGGTAGATCGGTCCTTTTACAAGAAAAACCACCTGGAGGAGGAATTCAAAGGAAAACAGTAAATATCAGTAAATTACAGTGCTTGTAATCCGAGAAAAATTGTTGCAACACGATATGAAAGATTGTGAGACTGCTTTCAGTTTTCCATCAACAGAAAATAATGTGTGGGATAGAGAACAAATGAAGCACCCCAAATGCAACTATAACCAGAATCTTAAACAGCATATCAACTCGCAAATAGTCATCTCCAGTATCAAGGACTTCGCAAGTAGGACACATAGTCTAGAAGATTTAGAAAGAGATTCTACTTCGCGACTTGGTTCAACACAGAACTTAAATGAGAAAGCCGTAACAGAAACATGACAAACCTGGTGCATGCCTGCCTTAACATACTTGACTCGATCTCCCCTGGAAAGGAATATAATTAAGGCAATTGTTACAGCTCAATGAATAGCTAGCGTTACAGCAAATCCTTTCCAAAACAAAAATACAAAATGAATATAAACTATAGGACTTCATTGTGTTATCCAAAGTACCCATTCTCTACAAAAGATATGATGGCTTGCAGAGTTGCAGAGAATCCTGCCAGCTTGTGCTCATCCCCATATCTAGAAGTTGATAAATTGACATCAAGTAAACATTATGTGATGGTGAAAGGCGACTAGGTGATCACTAGTGAAGCTGAAACTGCACGCCTGAGGAAATCATTCATAGGCATTTGGGACAAACCTTGAATATATGGGTTTTCCAGAATTACTCAATATAAAGAAGTGTTTCTTCCTCTTTCTCCACGAAATAGAAGCATCATCCTGCACTTCATTGGTACAAAGACAACATTACAAGAGTACATTGACTAAACAACTTCTCTTTACAACTTATGGAAATGAGTTAATGGATTACAACACAGAATCTGAATACTATCTTGAGAATCCTTCATTTCAATCTTAACTACTCTCCCCCATTAGCTTGCCCACTTCGTTGCTCTGCATTAGGATGAGCCAACATTTTCTTTCCTATGGACACTCTTCCGTGCTAAGCAGGAAACTATATGAGCACAATTTGATGAAAGTTGATCCAGAAGTTCAAGTCCATTATATCAAAGCTCGAAATGTTCAGAGACCTAGCTTATGAAGCAGATCGCTCCATTTCATACCTACATTTCCTAACTAGTTCAAGGTGCCGGAAAAACTAAGTTACCTCATCAACATGCCGTTTCCCAGGAGTCCATTCCGCTTGCGAGTCCGGAGCACCAACAGCGCCACCATCATCGTTCCCAACTACCTCTATCTCGTCTTCTTCGCTGGCGTCGTCAGCTCTCGAAGCGCTACTTGCACCGCTGCTACCTCTCCCGCCAGCATACCCACTGCTGCTCGGACTAGCCGGCGCCTCCACCTCCAATTCCACCTCCGAGTTCGCCCTCCTCCACACAACACCGCCGCCGCCGCCGCTACCACCATCCCCATCGCGAGCCTCGCCAGAACCTATTCCCTCCTCTCGATCGCTGCTGTCGCGATGACCGTTGTCCTCGACATTAACGACGCCGTCAACCGATCCATTTCCCGAACCCTCATCTTGCTGCTCCTGCTGCTGCTCGGCCACAGATGCGTCGTCGGTCCGCGCGACACCATCCGAGTCTTCGAGAGTTAGCGACGATTGGAATTGGCTCTCGAGTGGCTGAGGTTTAAGCTTAGGGTTTGGATCGTCGGACGCGGAGGAGGAGCTGGAATCGGAAGACGACATGGTTCGCAATTACTGAAAATCCGCGAGCGGTTATCAGACAGACGGCGATCAGAAATTGGCTCTGCAGCGGCGGCGAAGAGAGTATGGATTGGCCGTTTCTGCGTTTTTTTTCTTTCTTGCAGCTCGAGCAAGTGTTGCGATGGCGGTTTCTCGAAGTTCTGCAAATGGAGAGACGATAGAGACGGGGTTGGGAAGACGATCGGCTGACTCTGAGTCTGAGACCATTAGCTGGATTCTGGAAGGTGGACTTTGATCCGGGTCTCGGGTCGGCAGGGAAACGACGGGTGGGACGTGGAGTGGTTGAGATTTGAGAAATGAAAAGGCCCTTTGGTGGTTGGGCTTCCATGGTTCGGCCCAATTCAACCTAATACCGAAGCCCCAGCGTTAAATAGAGCCCAAATAGACAGCCATCTGTCAGTTCGTCGACAACATCTTGTCAACACTGTCGACAAGAAAGCCCAAAGGCCCACGAAGGAATATTAAATCCCCATCAGCTTTGCTGAAAAACGACAGACGGAAACACACATTAAACGACACCAACCATAGGGCGAGGGCGTCAACGAACTGTCTTGATCAACGGTCCCACGCCCTCTTTAAAACAATCAGTTTTCGCAGATCCGACGGTCTCTATTATTTCTCTTTTTCCCCGTCTTATTCGACGTAAAAAGAAAAAGGGGAAAAAAGGAGCTGCTGTCAAATCTTTTCAACTTATTTTATTTCCCTTGAAGGACCGGACTTGGCTTAAAGCCTTAAACTATTTCTTCAGCCATTGAAGAAATTTTTTGTTGCTACCTACTGAATGTATATAGTTGAAGCAAATAGTTTGCTATACACAGATTTTGCTTCAAGTTAGCCTACGGAACGAGTAATCGTACGTTCGGATGTTTAATTTAACAGCGTAAAGACAGTATTTACCATAAAAAAAATCATGTAAATATGCGAATCAAATCGATTAATATTGTCGATAATTAATCGGCTGAATAAAAGGGAGATTAGTTGGCTTGCATGTGGAATCTCAATTGTCATTTTCGGCGGTTAGTTTCCAATAATTTGGACTTGTTCTGTACACAAATCTAGCTGTGGATAAGTAGGCATATTATGTAACATGCAAGTAATAATAAAAAAGAAATAATTAAAACCATTTTGCAAAATGGTACCAATGACCTTCTTCAATTTTATTAATTAAAACCATTTTGTACGTTTGATTTCATTTTATATTTTGTTTATAGGTTTCGATTTGCTGTTAGTTGACATGTAACCATTAGACGTGAACATGGCTATTTTTTAAACGTATCAATTCATCTAGATCAAACAATATTATAGCTTAGTGAATATGTATGTATACGACCAAAAAAAAGTCAAAAGTACCAATTTTGTGTTTATGACTTTATACGAGGATTATAAAAATCATTCCTCATTCAAAATGATGGTTTAGTTAGAGTTAAGTCACAATTCGAACTCTCAATAATGATTCTTAAAACTTCGGGGTTATCAACTTTTTATACGGTAGTTTTGACTTTGACCAAACGAATCATGATTAATCCTTTCTTCGTTAGTGCCTCGTTAAGTTATCATCAAAATTTCTCCATTTCATAGATGAGGCTATGTTTTTTTTTTTTTTTTTGACAAAAATAGATGAGGCTATGTTGACAAAGTTTCAATCGACATTAGATTATACCTAAAATAATTCTGTATATCCCCTAAATTATGCATAGAACTCCTTAAGGTGCAAAACCTTCCTCAATTCACTATCCATTTCTTTTGGGGTGTCGGAACCGCCAAACTCTTTTGAATCTCAGTTTTATTAAGATCAACAAAAATTTTCGGCACGGTGCATGTTACTTGAATAAGCTTTCAGTTTAAAAAGACGGTTTAGTCAACTGGATCGTGTTATTGATCGACGATAAGAGATGAGCATTGCACCACTCCACAAGAACAAATACTAACAAGTTTGTCTTTAAAGAATGAATGAGCCATACAAGATTCATGTCTATTTCCTTATCAACAATTCGAGATACTGGAATACGAGTGCAAGCCGTACTTATTCAATTCGCTCACCGTGCTTTCGAAGTCAACCGAATATTATCATTAATCTCCAATAGTTTCATCTATCACAAATCAAATTACCATTAACTACACAAAAAAACTCTCCACGCCCAAAATATTTCACGTGAGGTTTCTGTAATTCCCAAGCTATTGGCATATTTTGATAAGCGCCCCCGATAAAGTTCTCTCAAAGTTAAGTGTATTTATCCTCATTGGCTAAATCTAATTACCCCATCTATTTGTTCTTATTTCTGCATGCAAAACCCTAATCTTTTTTTAATAGTGTTCTCAAGATCAAATGTCTAGATTGTTAATCCATTTTTTGATTAAGAAATCACACTTTGCCTGCCCCCCGCCATTACCACTCAAATTTATTCTCCACCATTAACAAAGCACAAAGGAACACTTAAATTTATCCACTTCCACTTAATTAACTTTCTCTTTTGGGATTTGTTCTGAGAATTTTCACTCCTTTTGGTGGGCTCTTTTCATAAGTCACCACTTTACTCAATCCAATTAAGTTCCACACGGCGCACTTGACATTATCTTTTGATTTAAATGATGCAACCATTAAATTTTGGTATTTGGCACAGTGATAATGTCGGAAAAGTAACACTCATCATACTCTATGTTCAAATTATGTGACTAACAACTAATCAATGGTGGAATAAGGATTTAGATTGAGCAGGAAGGAGAAAGAGAGAGAAATGTGACAGTTTCCACGAATTGAACATATCTCGGCGCGAGGATGAAGATAAGGAGACTTTGAGAGCATTCATTCATGCCACTTTTAAATGTTTTCTTTAAAGAATCTCAACACATTAATACACGTCATAACCAATTTTTGTCAAGAAGAGATAATTTGTAGTCCCTTCTGAATTGCACATAGCTTTACCATCGATAATCTATCCAAAAAGAAGATAAAAATCAGTCACTCCAACAAATATCATTGTTATTTAACATGTGAGTATATATTCGAGCCCAATTGGCATGTACGAGTACGAGACGAAAACAAGCACAGTTTTAAATCCAAAATGTTCAGTCAAAGGAGATTCAAACGGTTCGATTAGCTCAAAGTTGAAGCTAAAAATGTCACTCTCCAATCAACATTATGCATATTATAATAAAGACGATTTACTCACCATTATGCATATAATAATAAACTAGATTTACTTTGATGGAAGGGAATTTTGTCATATTGTTTAACATATATGAGTTCTTGGTTGGCAGACGGTGGAGTATCTTATGGACTGTCAAATCATTTTAAAATATAATTATGGATTTGCATTATCACCAGCCTTCTCTATGAACACATAATAATATTCGCAATTAGCAAGGCAGCCTTATCCCCACAACCACAACCCACTTCCACTGTTTCACTTCTCAATTATGATTTTTTTGATTCTTCTCCCTTAACCTAATGAAATTTAGGTTGATTCAAATAATGTTACAGCATTTAATGGGTGGTAAGAAAAACCGAATTTGTGAGGTTAGCTTGTATTTTCTCTCTTTTAAATTATATTTTAACTAGAGGTGGCAATTAGGATCCAAATCCATGAATCCAATCCAATCCATCCACCAAATTATCCACCTAATCCAATCCATTTAAATCCAATCCATTTGATCCAAATCCAATTGGATAGGTGGATTCATGGATCAATCCATGGATCCAAATGGCAAATTACGATTTGATACCTATATTTTTTATATTTTACATTTTGGTACCTAAAATTTATATTTTTATACGAAAAATATCATTGGAAAATTACATTTTGGTACCTAAAATTTTTCATTATGACATTTTAGTACCTAAACTTTTCAAAATTTACATTTTGGTCCAAGCTTTGGATGTTATTTGGATTCATGGATCAATCCACCAATCCATTGGATCCAATCCATGAATCCACCAATCCATTGGATCCAATCCATTTGATCCATGGATCCACGAATCCAATCCACGAATCCACGAATCCGATCCAATTGCCACCTCTAAATTTTCAACTCTAATGTAAATAATAAATATATAATTAAATGATCATCAACAATAATATCACATTTCAACACATATGTGATAAAACACTTACATGATTCAAATGTTTAAGTCTCATAATAAGTACAAACATAAAAATCCACCATCTGGAGCTTGCAATTATAGTAATTCGAAAATTCGGTTCTCGGTCGAAAGGACCTTTAGTTTTCGAAATATACCCTTTTTCCTTCTGAATTCCGAACCAAATTAATGTTATTCGATTAGGTAACCTACCGAACCGTATGGCCACCACACTGGAGACTTCTAGCACAAAACTGTTATTGACCAAGGGCAAATGATAATAAGTGTGAAAGCTACTAAAATATATCTTGATGGAGTGGAATATTTCGGATGAAATATATTAATAATACAAATACAAATAATTGATGAAGTTAACAGATTGATTAAAAAAAAAACTCAATCCCCTTCATCAATCAAACCAAGATAAATTTTTTTTTAAAAGGGTAAAGATTAGGAAAAATACCCAATCTACCGACTACCGGCCTCCTGTCACAATCCCCTCTCTATAAAAACAACAAAAATATAAAACTTTTAAAAATTAAAATTGAAATCCACCCCCGCAAAAAGTTAATAATTATTCCCCTCTAATTACTTCCAAAAAAAAGAAATGAAAATTTTCAATCTTGAAACCCAGTTTTCTCCCAAATTGCATTTCTGACCCTACTCAGATCCCTCCCTTTCAACGTCCTCCCCACCCCTTCGTGGACGGAGAACGACGCGATCCTCGTCCTCGCCATCTGCCTCGCCAGGAACTCGTGCGGCGGCACTCGCACCCCGCCGCCGTCGGCGTAATCATCGTCCAATTCTTCTTCCTCGTCGTCGTCAAACGGATCCCGGCGCTGGTTATCCCGGTACTCATCCTTCAATATCTTCGACCAGTCCGGTATGTTGACCGGCAGCGACGACGCGGCGGATCCGAACTTCACCGCCGCCACCGTCGGCCGATTCTTTCCGCCGATCCTGGACCCGGCCTTCCGGAACTCCGGCGACTCCGCGGCGGCGTGGTGGTGGCGATCGTAGATGTCGCACTCGTCCAGTTCGAAGGAGGAGTCGTGGTGGCTGAGGTGGTGGTGGTGGTGGTTCGGAAGATCCACTGGGAGGAATCGGTAGTTCTGCCTGGCTAAGTAACTCTTACTCGCCGCCATCGAATTCGCGAGAAGAAAGAAGAAGAAGAAGATCAGGGAAAAAGCAGATAAGATCACAGTCTCTCCCGATTGAAATTTTCAATTGATTCTAAATTTAGGGTTTCTGTTTGTTTGTTTGTTTGGATTGGGGATTTTTTTTTCTTCTTTCTACTGTGGTGGGTTTGTTTCAGGGAAGGCAGATTTCGAGGTCCCTTTTTATAAAGGGTGTGGCGGGGTTGCGGTAAATGGATAAGATTGGCTGCTTTAGCTATTTTTAATATTTTTTCCTTTTTCGAATTCTCAGAAACTCGAAATATTATCGTGAAATGACCTACACGCCCCTCGTGAAAGCGACACGTACGAGACTTTTGGACCGTCCACACTGGAATTTCCTACCCCCCAGTATAATGTAGATATGCCGTTTTACCGCGGCGAACAGATGAAACGAAGAAATTCCAATCTAAACCTGCCACGTGGAACCCGCTGCTGAAGTTCCCCGGACCGCGGATGGCTGCCACGTGGAGGTGGTGAATTCTAAAGCGTGACGCAAAGTTAAAAGGGAGTGAAAAAAGTGAAAACGCCAGTCGACGTCTTGCCGTAGAGAGAGGGGCAGTTACGGGAATCTACAAAAATTTCCCCTCATGCTTTTTTTAACTCATCGCAAAACAAGGCTTTTGTCGCGACGCGGGGGCCCAAAGGCCCAAACAGAGAGGTGCGGGAGGGCTGGGTTCCACCTGGGCCCGGGCCCGGGCCCGGAGAGAGGACAAATGGCAAATGCGGTCCCCAATCCCTCCAAAGGGCTGTGATATGGACACGTGTGAAAGGGCTCTGTCATCGGCTAACACGTGGAGACGTCTCCGTTACGTTTTGATGGGTTTTGGATGGCGAGTGTCACGTGAAGTGGTCTGTGGATGGGACCCACCAGCCCACTTGGATCTATCGCGCACTTGCCAGCTGGACCTCTCGCTGTCCCTCTGAAATGCGACACCTATGTTTATTTATTTATTTACCCCACATAAAATCACCATTAACCTCTTTTTTTTTTACCCCAAATCCTAGATATTTTAAAAGTATTTGGATTTTTGGAAGTTTGTAACCGTAATGCATAGCATAATCGAGCCAAGCCAATGAACTTTAGATTGTGATGGCTGATGTGTCGTATATTCTGTCCAGTAATCAAATTTCGGCTAGAAAATGTTAACTATGAATCTTACATAAATTTACAGGGCATTATGCATCAAGTAAAATTCAAATCACATATTTGAAATTTTGAATCGATTCATCATGTGTGATGTTTTAATCAATTGATAATATCGAATGCTATGACAATTCGAACAAACCATCACTTGAAAGATGATTTTTATTTACTGTTTATTTATCTACCTATCTAATCTAAGTACAAATCAACCCACTAAAATACAATGCTGCTCCCTCAAAATCAATGATAAAAATAATGGAATATGTTATATGTATACAAAAGAAAGTTCGATATGTTTCATGGACATGCTTAATGTGGTTCTCCGCGTAGGTACTTTGCCCACTAATTTGATTCGAATAAGTCAATAAAAACGACACTTGGTTCAAGGTTCCAACAAAAGAACAAACAAAGATGTTAAAGAATGGCCAATTAATTAGTACACAAAAACTTATCCTCCACTTCATTCACTAAAAAACTAATATGATAATAGTGGGATTCATATATAAGATTATTGGGGCTCTATTGATAAGTTTGTTAGGTATACTTTAGTAGACATGGCTAAGGTTAGCTAATATACTCTGCGTATGTTTGGCCCGGCTTTTAAAAATACTTTTCGGCTTCAAAAGCTAAAGCAGGGCCAAACACCTCTAAAAGCTCGGGTTTTGAAAAGTCGAAAAGCGTTTTTGTATAACATAAAAGCAGAAGCTCCGATTGGAGCTTCTGCGAAAATCTGTTTTGAAAATACAAGATTATCCTTACCATATTGTAATTTTATTTCAGAAAATATAACTTTTCTTTATTTATATCATTTTAAAAATAAAATAAATTATAAAATCATATTATTTAATATAAAAGAAATCTAACAAGATCCATTTTTTACTACTTTTTATTCTTTAGAATTTTTATTCATATTTTATATTATAAGTTCTTTATAGTAATTTTACACAACCGCTCATATTAAAAAGCACTTCTAATAGTTTTACAGCCAAACACTAAACTGCTTTTTTTGAAAAATACTTATCTAAAAGCTCCAGCCATAAGCTGCTTCTACAAAAGCTACAGCAGGGCCAAACTAAGTTTCTATAATAGGGAATAACGTAGCTTTTGAATTTCTATCAATGAAGGTATGATAATACTCACTATAACAATCGGGTGAAGGAACGTTAATGAAATCACCAATTTGATATTGAAGGAGTGGGAATTGTTGTGTTGTGCACCCTCGTTTATCTCGTAAATTTTCGAACACCACATTATTTGACATGCTTGTTGGATTAGACATTTGAGAATATCAACCAAATTTTCTTACCACGAGTTACAAAATTTGCTCCAACAATATGTCATATGCAACAACCCATCAGAAGACAAAAAAACAAACAAACAAAGAGATCGAATTCTCAACTATCATGACGAACAAATTGTCCTAGTTTTGATTATAAAAAAAGCATGTCAATAAAAATGTAAACTATAGGTTACCATATGCATACATGATTAGATTTAGATCAGATAAATTGCACTTACATGATTAGTGTCAGTCCAAAAACATTAATTGATGATTATATACACTGAATGTTATTATGATGACCTTTACTATATGCTGTTAATAAGGTCGACCGACCCCTATAAACAATATACATTTCAAAGAATCCAAGGGAACAGGTACAAAACACCATGGATCGATAATTTTGAAAACGTATTTAAACAAACGTAGCCCACAGAGGAAACAGGAAACCCTATACACCCTTTTTAATAATCTGCAGAGAAGATTATTGGGTCATATTCCCAGCTCACATTCACTCTTATCCGAGGTTAATGTAATGTATTTTTTGTTTAGAAGTGTTCATAGGATGGATTAGTGATACCAATTGGGTTTCCACCGTTCTATTTACTCGAGACGTCCTTTCGAGAGAAAAAAGGGTCATTTCACAAAGACTTCACCTCTGCTACCATCGTCGTACAGTGATTCGATTGCGTAGCTGTAAAGTAATTAATGAAATTGACAAGTTATCGGCTCTCGATAAAACGAGCTATAAAGACATATTGTATACGAATCGATTTATTTCGATGCAAATGACTCATCTAAATACCGTTGTCGAGGTTGGGAAATGGGACAAAATGGGGGTCTCTCACTCTCTGTATCCTCAAGAGTCTGCTGATTTGTCTTATGTGAATTGTAGCATTTTCTCAGAAGCAACGTTACTTCAATTTTTAATAAATAGGTAAATGAGGTGGTCTGGGAGTTGGGGAACTTTGGCTCTGTCATAATGATGAGCCCAATGCAACCCTTTCTTTCTGGAGGTCCCAAAAGATGCGACAGGGAAGAAGATAGAAGCTAAGGTTGTGGAGGTTCATTGCATTTGCATAAGGTTTTGGTATGGATGTGGTGATTTTCAAGTTATCAAGATTTCGAAGGAAACGGTGGATCGTTTGGATAAATTGGTCTATTGGATGATACATTTGTATAAAAAAGAAAAATTTATAAAGCAACCAAAAAAAAAAATGGATGGTTTGCTTTCACGGGTCAAACGGATTAAAAAAATACATATTTCAGATTGATCGCTTGGCTTTGTATAATAACATATTGAGGTTGATCGCACTTGAGAATGTCGGCTGGCCAGCTAGCTAGCGTACGTGGTCGACCTATTGGTCTACAGATATTTGCACAAACAACCACCTCCGATGTTACGATGCATTTTTCTTCTTCTTCACTAATCTCCCAAAGTCACAATTATTTGTTTAGAACGTCTTTAGAGGGATAAACTAATAACATAGACGGTTATTTATAAAAGATAGAGTTGATATTAACTACGGGTGAAATAGCATCAAAGTCAATGAATCCGAAGAAAACATCAACTTAACAACAGGCAATTTCTACTCCGGAATAAGATTAAATACCCAAGGCATTGAAGTGGGTAATCAAGAATGGGACGATGATGAGAGTATGGGAAGAAAAACAATGTTATATCCGATTCGTGCATCCAATTTACGGGATGGCGCAACACTGCCATTGAAAACGACCGAGCCACCCACGAAAAGGAATGGCGGGTAGTGGCTTATCAAAATTCATGAATTTGATATTGGACCCATTAGGGGATCGGGCCGGGTATTACGGGGCGAGAACCTCAATACTCATGTCTTGCCCCACGGTCTTCGGATTGGGGACATGAAGTGATGGCAATGGGGTGGGTGGGCAGGTACCTCAATACCCATGTCCCGTTCCACGCTACTACGAGTCGGAGCGGGTAAAACACGTGCAGGACGGGGCACGACGGGTCGATCCACTCTTACATGTTATTTGAAAAAAATGCACGCAAATTTTACTTTCGATGACAAAATGAAGGGGGAAAACACTTTATGAATGAAAAATAGTGATAATAGAATGAGTAATTGAATCTAACAAGTTGAAAGATCGACTCTAACTAATTAAAGATAACTCAAATATGAGAAATATGTATAGATATCATAACAAATTGTGAGAAAATGGGCTAAGAACGGGGCGGGGCGCGGCAGGGCGGTTCGGAGATAGATACCCATGCTCCGGCCCACCCTACTGCGAGTCTGATACTACCCATTCATCGTAACGGGTTAGTTCTGATAATACCCATGGAACAGGTTCAAATTGGCTATCACTAGGTACCTCCTCTTCATAGATATATATCCATCTTTGTTGGCCACCATAATCGATTAATTGAAGTAAAGAGCATCACATTAAGGCGTAATTGCTAGCCAAAAGGGTAATCATTACAATGATTGTGCTTGCCAAAAGCTCGGTCTTGTGCCTTTTTTTTGGGTATGGAGTACCGATGTTCCTCACCAAAAAATGCATGAATTCCGCCTAGTGGCTTTTCTCCAAAACAAATTTTCAGCGGGTTTTGAGTTACTACCATCCAAGGTTGTCAACCCTGACCCAGTGAGGAAAAACGGGTCGTATGCACTCGTTGGGTCGACCGCTATAAGGTGTCAGATTGGAGGTCAAATTGTATAATTTTTTTTCTTGGGTTTGCGAAATGCGCTTATTTTCCGATTTTTCTTCTCACCTAACTCAATCTTTGGAATCCTAAGTTGAACATTTGAATATTGATGTTATATAAGTGTGTGTGAATTTTTCACTATATGTTGGATCTAAGTACGACATGTTACTTTGGTGTAATGTTATATGTTAATACTCATATGTTATTATATGGGATTTGATATAATTTATCAGGATAAGTACAATATAATGACCCTTTCAATATTTCCGTTTTTCAATATTTCCGGACTAAAACGGGTGACCCATTAATCCTTGACCCACTAGCTCAACCGAGTCCGAGTCACGCGAGTTGACAACTGCTAAATTGGTTTGGCGATATGTATAAATGATACTTTTTAAGTCTTAAAATCCAAATGATAAACGTCGACTTAAGTTCTTTACTTTTCGGTGGGGTTTCATAATTGTTGTGACTTGTGACTGTGAGCATTCATCTGTAATAAAATCGCGAAAGAGACGATAGAGAGAAACAGCAACGTTTCATTTCTCGGCCCCGCTCATTACCTATCCAAATCTGGCAACTTGCACCTTCAAATCCTAGCTGCTAATCCCACAGTGCCAATTTTCAATGGGTGAATGACAGCAGGCAGGCCCATGGGTTTCCCAGCCAACAGATAGTGGGCCGTAAAGGCGCGGCTAACAAGGAAGACCCTGTGCAACTAGGCCCAAAACTGTTTGTCCGGCCCATTGCAATCACTGAACGGAGCCAATCCGTTCACAAATACGAAGATCTAACGTGCAGACTGTTCGAACATCATCGTGTAATTAAGCACATCCAGATCTTACGGAACTGTTCAAGGTCTTAAAGGGCATATATACGGGCACAGAGTTCCTATTCTAGACAGCACATACAGTTATGTATAATACACCAGAATAACATTCACCACTGGCGGTCAAACAGGCAATGAGCAGGCACTCACCAGGAAGAACAGATCGAACTGCGAACACGATCACAGCCGCAGTCTACATTAAATTACTACACAAAAGGGTATGGAGTTTTATCCAATAAACATTCTGCAGGTTAATAGAAACCACTGTGAAAAGCTTATCAAGAGCTGTGACCCTCCTTACTGTTTCTCAGAAATATCATATGAAAATCAGACCTCAGTTTTCTTCAATATCTTAGTCCCAATACGCATCACGATCACAAACGATACATCTAGTCGCGGATAAATCATATAGTGCTGAAATCCTACAACTGTTAACCAGCCCGGCGAGAACCACACATTGCACCAGATGGAGCAACAAATTCCAGCTCGTGATTCCATAATGCCAGAGCCAGAAAACTCAAACAAAGCAACAGAGCTAGTGTGGAATGTCAAAGCAGCCCAAACCAATATTATTATGTAGTAAATCAAGGATGATCAAGTCTAGTTCAATCACTCTCCTAAGAAATCAATCTCAATGCATCTTATACCCGCCTTTCGCGCTAACATTATACGAATATAGAACAGAGAAACAACAGCAAACAATTCAGATACAGTAAAACAGTACACCAAACAAGTAGGCAATCATGGAAGATGGAACATAATCATTCACAGCACCATAATAAGCATACGCTAACTGAGCAATATGGCTAGACTATATCATGTCAAACAAGGACCTCAACAAGTAAACAAACTCCAAAAGCCATTCTCAAACATTCGAAACAACAATTGAGGCAAAACCCATATGTTTGTTCTCTGAGAAAATCAACAAAAGAGCTCAAGACTACCCAAGAGATAATAGACGAGCAAACAAAAAAACAGCAGGCAGCAGCTACAAGACTAAACTCTTACTCAAGCGGGACCTCGATTTCGCCATCGGTAATCTCCTGCTGCAAGTCCTTCGGGTCCTTCCCATCGACCGTGCACCCAACCGAGACACAGGTCCCCAAAATCTCCTTGATCGTACCGCTGAGATCCTTCGCCATCGACCTGGGGCTCATCACCTTCGCAATCTCAATCACGTCGTCGAGGGAGATGTTCCCGTTGTGTTTAATGTTTTTGGTCTTCTTCCTGTCCCTCTCGGGCTCCTTCAGGGCCTTGATCACCAGCGCAGCGGCGGAAGGGACGACGGTGACTTTCGCCTGACGGTTCTGCACGGTGAGCTTGACGGTGACGCGGAGACCCTTCCAGTCCTTGGCGGTCTCCTTGGCGATGTCTTCTCCGATTTTCTTCGGAGACAGACCGAGCGGACCGATCTTGGGAGCGAGGGAACTGGCCGCGCCTACTTCGCCGCCGGTGACGCGGACGAAGACGTCGACGACCTGGGACGGGTCGAATTTGGGCGGCATTGTTTTCGCTGCTCGGCGGCGACGGAGGAGGAAGAAGAAGATTAGGGTTTTACAGAAAGGTGAGCGACGGCAATTCTCGCGGCAGTGGAAATGTTGGAAAATGGCTTGGTATATATACTAGGGTTTTTATTTTTTCTCGGAAGAAAACAGTTGGGGGCCCATTTTCCATTCAATCAACATTCGGCCCATGAAATTGTTACAGCCCAAAGCAGCCCACCGAAAAGATTTATAACTTCCACGTCATACCCCAATCTACTTTGCATTTTTAAAATGGGTTAATACCCTAGTTTGGCCCGAAGGTTGGCATAAGTGACAATTGTGGACCGATTTTTCAAATAAGACATTTACGGCCTACTTTTCAAAGTAATGGACTGATTTGGCCCAAAACTTGTATTGACTGTTAATATTAACGGTCAAACATATATTCCGTCAATGACTCAACATCCAGTGATGAGGTGGCATACACGTCACTTATTAATTAAAAATAAAAAATGAAAAACAAATTTAAATAAATAAAATCCTAAGAAAATACCCTTTGTTCCTTATCTTCATCTTCTTCTTCCAACATCCAACCTCACCTCCAATTCCTCCATAGCAACTCCCTTCCTCCAACATCCAACCTCACCTCCGATTTCCCCCATGTCTGATTCTCTCTCCTTACCGACATCCAACCTTATCGTCAAACTATGCAGTGGGGGATGAAGCGGGTGCGAGGGTAGTCATCGTGGCTTCGATGGTGGCTCCGGTGGTTCGCCGCCGTCGATTTGATACAGGGGAAGCCGATGTTGTGTCGGAGAAACGATGGTGACAGGCGACAACGGCGCGGGGATGTATCTATGGAGGATGGCGTAGATCCCTGCAACTGTGGCGTCGAGAGCGACGAAGCAGAGCAAGGGTTGGGGTCGCGATGAATGACATCGATATTGACGACGATGGCTCCGTGGGCGGCGATGTAGATTTGGAAAACGATGACGAGCAAGGCGACATCGTCGAGGCAGTGGGAGATTGAACGGAGGAGGTTGATGGTGGAGGGAAGGTGGAGGGCGGCGGCAGAGGCTTAAGGAAGATGGAGTGACGGCCGAATGGGGACGGGTTGGTGTTGTGGGCTTGCGGCGGAGTGGGTTTTTGCCGAGAGTGAAGAGAGAAGAAGTAGAGATTTTGACTTTGTGGTGCTTTTTTAATTTGTTGTTTTGCTTTTTATTTTTTATTTTTTTCAGAACATTAAATACGTAATTATTTAATGATGTGGCAACAAATATCAGTCACATATGCAGTATTTTGCTGAGTCATTAACGGTGAGAATGTTTGACCGTCAAATTTAACGGTCAACACAAGTTTTGGGCCAAATTTGTCCATTATTTTGAAAAGTATGTTATAAATGTCTTATTGGAAAAGTCGGGCCACAACTGTCACTAACGCTATATTTCGGGCCAAACTAGGGTATTAACCCTTTTAAAATTGTCACATTAAGTAATCCCAAAAAATTTTAACTGTCAAATTAATATAGTTGACTGCTACTAAAGATTTTTCAACAAAATTTAACGAAGGGTAATTATTGGTAAACTAAAAGCGTAAAATTTGTGATCATTAATGAAATAAAATTTTCTTAGTGACAAACGTGAAATGTATATATAAACACGGTCACCAAGTGTGCTATTTACTGGAGAGAACGGGTTGGGAACCTCAATGGTCGTTTACAGCTTCTCATACTGGTCCTAATGATGACAATTTGAACCCGCCCCGCGGTGTTACCTGACCTGGCCCGTGATGGGGCGGGTACTATTACCCGACTTGCTGTAGCGTGGGGCGGGGCATGACTATCTACTTCCGACTCGTCGTGCCCTGCCCCATTCTACCTCGATTTCTCACAATATCTATACATATTTATCCTATTTTGATTTTTCTTCAACTAGTTAGAGTAGATCTTTCAACTGGTTAGACACAATTACCCATTCTATTATCACTAATTTTCATGAATAAAGTGTTTTCCCATTCGTTTTATCGTAAAAAGTAAAATCTGTGTGTATTTTTTTAAATAACATGTGAGATTGGGTCGACCCGCCCCGACCTGTAGTAGAGTGTGACAGATCATGAGTATTGAGGTACTCGCCCCGCCCCGGCCCGCCCCCATTGCCGTCACTAATTGGTCCTATGTAAATGTCAATAATCTGTTGCATCTGTTCAACTAGGTCCTGATCATAGTCTTATCATATATTATGATCCCTAACGTTACAGAGTCATCAATGGCCGCCAGGACCCATGCTAAAACTACCACATGGTTTACAGAGTCGTCAATGGCCCGACAGGACCCCATTCTATTTATTAGCATCAGCAGCAAGCACGCAACTTGCAACCATATGCCATGATTTTCACGAGGAACCAGTCTACTGTCGGCACACTCCAGTCTGAGTGTTCGATGCAATTCGATGAGTTCCGACCAATCTTAACGGTATATCAGAGATTCAGCGCAGAATGTCACTAAATTTACTGTGACATATTGTACAGTTTGACCTATATATATATTTATAGCAAGCAAACAAGGACTTTCATCATCTCTTCCCCTCTCTTTCTCCCATCGTCACAAGAAACACTAGAAAAAAAATGAGCCAACAACTTGATGAATTGCTAGGGAACATCACTGGCGACGAGCTCCTCGAAGCTCAGGCTCGCGCCTGGAACTACAGCTTCAACTACATCGTCTCCATGGCGCTGAAATGCGCCGTCGAGCTCGGCGTCCCCGACGCCGTCTCAAAGTCACCGGAGCAACCCATCTCCCTCACCAACCTCGCCACCGCCCTGCCGCTTCACCCTTCCAAAAACGACGCCCTGCGCCGCCTCATGCGTCCCCTCGTCCACGCCGGCTTCTTCACACTCCAAAATCGGTAGGTTTAAGGGCCGGAAAATTTCGTATCTTTCGGAGACAGACAGACAAATTTCATTTTCGGCGAATAGTCCCCGACTGCCTGTAGATTATGTTCTCTATTCTTTTGGAGACAACAAAAATAAAATTAAAAAATGGAAGTCGTCTCCAATGTTCGGAGACATAGTCGTCATCTCCAAAAAAAAAAACAAACAAACATATCAATTTATCGTCATATATCTAGGAATTCAGGATGATATGTCGTCGTCCCCTATGCAGTGTTTTTCAACAAATTGCTGACCGGTTCATTAGGTTGGTGGTTAAACAGACCGAATGTGGTTACGACTTACGAGACAATAATCAGTCCCATTATCAAGTTTTTTTTTTCAGCAGACAACAACTCGTCTCCTGTAAAGTATTTTCGAGACATTAACCTCTCTGCTAGAAATTATCTTAAAAGACACTCAGTCATCCCTAATACAATATATTTTCGAGTTACGACAGAGTCTGTCAGTCGTACTCATTCCCCGATGACGAAATAAAATTATTGTCTCTAATACTTGTCCCCTACGCTCATTAAATTTGTAGTGAAGTCAAAGGCGAAAGGAAAGAAGAAGATCACTACTCCCTCACCACCGCCGGGAAGCTGTACCTCCGCGGCGGCTTCGGGCCGTCGTACCTCGACCTCCACCTCGAGCCCGCCACGATGACACGGTGGGGGATGCTGAGCGCGTGGTTCCTCTACAGCGCCGACGCCGTCCCCTTCGCGGCGGGCCACGGCGGCGCGTCGTTTTGGGAGCGCATGGAGAAGGACCCGGCGCAGAAAAAGTCTTTCCACGACTCCATGGCCGCCGACTCCGTGCTGGTGGCCGGGGTTATGGTGGCGGAGTGCAGGGAGGTGTTCGACGGGGTGGAGTCGCTGGTGGACGTCGGCGGCGGGAACGGAACCATGGCCGTCGCTATTGCTAGGTCGTTCCCAAAGATGGAGTGCACCGTTTTTGATCTTCCTTATGTGGTGGCTAATGTGAAGGAGGAGGAAAGTGGTGTGGAGAATTTTCGTGTTGTTGGAGGGAACATGTTTGAAGGAATTCCCCAGGCTGATGCCGTCCTCCTCAAGGTAATTAGAAGTCGGAATTTATTATTGATCTCGTACCTCTCTCTCTCTTACTGCTTTTTTGCTAGTATATTGCGGATAGAGGTGGTAAATGGATTGGATTTATGGATTGGTAGATTCATTGATTGGTTGATTAATACGTGGATTCAAATGACATCCAAGTTTTGGACTAATATGTAAATTCTGAAAAGCTTAGGTACTAAATGTCGTAAAAAAAATTCGGTACTAAAAAAAAAATTCAACGACTTTTTTCGTATGAAAGAAATGGTAACCAAACTGTAACATATAAAAATATAAGTATCAAACTGTAATTTGCCAATAATCCATGAATCCACCAATCCAATTGGATGGATTTGAATGAAGTAGATTAGTTGGATATTTAAGTGGATGGATTGGATTATAAATTGCCACCTCTACCTGTCTGCCTGCGCAGACGATTCTTCATGATTGGGACGACGAGAAATGCTTGGAGATTTTGAAATCCTGTCGGGAGGCGGTCTCCGGCCGGGACGAGAAAAAGAAGAAGAAGAAGAAGAAAGGGAAAGTGATCATTATAGATATGGTGGTCGGCAACAGGGACGTCGTCGGGAATCGGGAGATGTGTCAGGCGCAGTTCAGCTTCGATCTGCTGATGTTTGCTAAATTCAACGGCAAGGAGCGAGACGAGAAGGAGTGGCGGAGCCTGTTCAAGGCGGCTGGTTTCAGCGACTATAAGATCATTCGTTCACTGGGTCCAAGGTCGCTTATCGAAGCCTATCCTTAATTAACATATGCGTGGTCTTCGTCGGCTAAGTGGATCGACGTCGTTTTGAGCTCTGAAGTTATCTTCACTATCTCGTCGTCTGTTTCACCATCTGCAGTTATCAAGTCTACCTGTCAATTGAAATAATTCTATTGTGTTTACTAGCTTTTTTACCCGGCCTGTTGGCTAGAGAGTTCATTGTATCATTTATATAAAATAATTTATCTATATGTTTAAAATCTTTTGAAGCTTCTAGGTTTTTTATACTCTCACTTCATAAGAAAGTATGTGATATGCCTATATTAAAAATTCTCAATACTTTACTCACTCACCTATGATGCTTCGATTCTCTAATTACAAATCATACCGTGAAGGTTTATCACTTCCTATTTAGGATATTATATCAAGATTTGTCAACCACACTCAAATTGATTATGTTATACAACATATAACAATTCATGATTCTCGAGTTACGACAAACTCTTAACACCAATTATTGAGAATTAAGATTATTGAATAAATATACTTAATTACTGGATAAATTTTGTTTATCCCAAGTGAAACTTAACACGTACACATCATACCCCCTTTACGACGATCTAATTATATAATCTTGACTCATTTTCATTTTCATTATCTAATATTGACTCATTTTCATTTGAATGTTCATGAAGTCTAGACTGAGGATAGTATGTCAAAATTTGTCTATCAAAACACTCAAATTTAGTATCTTATACAATATGTATCAATCGCTAATTCTTAAAGTATATACTAAGCTTCAACCCATGGTTATAGACTACATGTTGGCTTAGAATCTCAATCTAAGACACTCACACACACTATCAAGAGTTCTCGTCTTGACATGGTCATTTAGCTTATAATTTTCAAAGTTTTTGAATTTGCATTTGTAAATTTCTTTTATCCTGGGTGCTTGTTCTGGAACAAAATTTTCATTACTTGTCTAAATAACTCATAAAGCATGTCTACAATGCACACGAATTTGGGTGCATTTAAAACGCCATATAGTTTGAACAATTAATTTACAATTTTTTGAAAATTTTATTTTTCTAATTAAAATTTCAAAATTCATACAAACATTGTGACATTTTGCATATATATGAATTCTTAGATGTAGTGTAGACATATCTATTGTTAACATCTAAACATATATAAGAAAATGGTGTTAGGATAACTCGATCTAAATATAAATTAATTATTGTTACAAACTAAAATATTTATGTTTTGACACTTTGATGTAAAAAAAATTTGGTTATTGCCAAAATTTGGTATGGAGTACAGGCCGGCGCACAGCCATACAACCAAATGACTTCTGACAATTGCCTTGTTCAACCCATCCTTATTAAAAATTCTTCATTTTTATCTGAATAGCTCAGTTTAGACTTTTGTAACTATAAATGTTTTTAGTATAAATATCTCAACCAACAAACATATGTTTAATTATTGTATTAATCCTCGAATTTAGATTTTTCTACCAATACATTCACATATTAAACGAAGATTGTCAACCTTTGTTTGATCAATGTCTAGGTCAGTGGTTGATGTAACATTATGTTTACTATACATCAACTATTTGTCACTTTGCAAACTTTAGTTTATTGATGTATACATAGATATAATGCAAAATATCTCTCTAACTTCACATATGTTACTTTGCAAGGAATCTTGTGTCTTATCATAGGGTATGAAGCCAAACTTCGTCAACAATTATTTTTAAGTCATTTTGAAAACTTTGATTTATAATTCTCGACAATAACTCTAAGCCTGAAAGAAAATCTCTGAGCATACGACTTAGGACCTTAATAGAGCTTGCTCATTCAACATGATCTAGAGCAAATATCTTTAATGTGAACTTATGACACATTAAAAAATTATTGCACATGTGTTTCAACATGATACGAATGAATAAGAAGTTTTTTTTAAATAAATAACTATAACTACTCGATCAATTTTATATTCGGACATTTTGCTAAATAATACTTGTTTTATTTTATAGACATACTTTATGAATAAGAGAGTGTTTCATAGTAAAAAAATATAAAGTAATATAGTTTATTTTTAAAAGGTAATTGAATGTCAAATGTTTATTTTCTCTCTTTTCATATATTTTTTTTAATCGATTAAATATTATTATTTATGTGATTGGCAGTTTACATATCAGTACCTATATTATTACAGCTTCCCATATTGGTTTTATTATCCAAAATCCAAATGACTTAATTGGCAGTTTACATATCAGTACCTATATTATTACAGCTCCCCATATTGGTTCCCATGCAAATGTCTATGATCCTGTTGCATCTGTTCAACCGGGTCCTTATCATAGTCTTAACTCTTATCATATTATAATACCTAACATGCATGCAACCACATTTTGTGATGAAATTGGTGAAAGAAAATTTAGCTGTATTGAATTGATTGATTGCATTGATACAGAAGCTCGTAAGCCTTATATAAAAGAAAGAGGGAAAAAAAAAACTCTCAAAAAGTAAGAGGTCGTTTGGAAGGAGTATTTGTTGAGTTATTCGAGTTGAAATAACTCACAGTCAATTATTTAGATCTAAATAACTAGTTTGCCGCATTCTACTTAGATGAGTAATTTGGAATAACTCCTACCCCTGTTTTATTTCGAAATAACTCATTTTACCTTTAAGTTATTGCAAATATCAAATGTGAATGGTTTTAACCACCGAAATACTAGGTGAACAATGAATAAATTATTTCATTTGCCTATACAAATATGATATATTGAATATATAGTGTCAGCATTAATATTCAGCATTTTGTAAATACTCAACCTACTTATCTACCAGGCAGGCTAGAGTCATCAATGCTTCTACAGCCAGCCTAATCGGAAGAAGAAGGATGGCCGCCCGTACCCCATTCTATTTATTAGCATCACTGTGCAAGCAAGCAACTTTCAACCAAAGGGTTATCATGAGGAACAAAATACAACACGTAAGTAGGGTTGGGTATTTGGTTTTATTCGAAACCAGACCGTATAACTTGGACCGAGATCGGATAGCAAACAATCCAATCCAATCTTTGGACTTAGATTTGAGATAAAAAATCGTTTGAGATCGGATCGAAAATCGGATAAGAAAGTCCAACACCCAAAACTTAACCAACACCTCACCCTTTGAGTTTGTAAGGCCACTCAAATCCCCACAAGCTCAATCTAAAATCAAGACCGAATTGGTATCGGACAGGGTCAAGACCGGACCGGATCAATACCGGACTGTATCAAATCCAATCTTTGGTCCTTATATTCCTGAAAAGATCGGACTGGGACCGGATCAATTCGGGCCAATTTCACCGGATCGGACCGTATAGCCACCCCTAATATGTAGTATGATAACCACCGGTACACTCCAAGAATACAGTCAAATTTTAAGTGATCTTGTTGTTAGATGTAATTCGACGAGCTCCGAAAAATCTGAACTACATCACCTATATATATATATGTATATGAAGCAAGCTATGACTTTCACCATCTCATTATCTCCAACTCCCTTTTTTTTTTTTCTTTTTTCTTTCTTTCTTTCCATTCGTCACAAGAATCCCTAGGGGGGAAAAAAAACAAAATGAGCCAACAACTTGATGATTTGCTAGGGAACATCACTGGCGACGAGCTCCTCGAAGCTCAGGCTCGCGCCTGGAACTACAGCTTCAACTACATCGTCTCCATGGCGCTGAAATGCGCCGTCGAGCTCGGCGTCCCCGACGCCGTCTCAAAGTCACCGGAGCAACCCATCTCCCTCACCAACCTCGCCACCTCCCTGCCGCTCCACCCTTCCAAAAACGACGCCCTACGCCGCCTCATGCGCCCCCTCGTCCACGCCGGCTTCTTCACACTGCATAATCGGTAGGTTTAAGGGCCGGAAAATTCCATCTGGGGTTTTTTTTTCCCTGTCTCCAGATCATTCGGAGACCGACAGACAAATTTCATTTCAGGCGAATAGTCCCCGACTGCCTGTAGGTTCTGTTCTCTATTCTTTTGGATACAACAAAAATAAAATTAAAAAATGGAAGTCGTCTCCAATGTTCGGAGACATAGTCGTAATCTCCAAAAAATAAAAAAACATATCAATTTGTCGTCATATATCTAGGAATTCAGGATGATATGTCGTCGTCCCCTATATATGGAGTGTTTTTCAACAAATTGCTGACCGGTTCATTAGGTTGGTGGTTAAACAGACCGAATGTGGTTACGAGACAATAATCAGTCCCATTATCAAGTTTTTTTTTTCAGCCGACAACAACTCATCTGATCTTATAAAGTGTTTTCGAGACATTAACCTTTTTGGCTATAAACTATCTTAAAAGACATTAGGTCATCTCTAATACAGTATATTTTCGAGTACGACAGAGTCTGTCGTACTCATTCCCCAACGACAAAATAAAATTATTGTCTCTAATACTTGTCCCCTACGCTCATTAAATTTGTAGTGAAGTCAAAGGCGAAGGGGAAGGGGAAGGAGAAGGAGAAGAAGAAGATCATTACTCCCTCACCACCGCCGGGAAGCTGTACCTCCGCGGCGGCTTCGGGCCGTCGTACCTCGACCTCCACCTCGACCCCACCACGATGACGTCGTGGGGGATGCTGAGCGCGTGGTTCCTCTACAGCGCCGACGCCGTCCCTTTCGAGGCGGGCCACGACGGCGCGTCGTTTTGGGAGTGCCTGGAGAAGGACCCCGTACAGAAAAAGTCTTTCCACGACTCCATGGCCGCCGACTCCGTGCTGGTGGCCGGGGTTCTGGTGGCGGAGTGCAGGGAGGTGTTCGACGGGGTGGAGTCGCTGGTGGACGTCGGCGGCGGGACCGAAACCATGGCCGTCGCTATTGCCAAGTCGTTCCCTAAGATGGAGTGCACCGTTTTTGACCTCCCTCATGTGGTTGCTAATGTGAAGGAGGAGGAGGAGAGCGGCGTGGAGAATTTTCGTGTTGTTGGAGGGAACATGTTCGATGGAATTCCCCCTGCTGATGCCGTCCTCCTCAAGGTAAGAATCTCTTACTGCTTTTTCGCCGTAGTATATTGCGGATAGAGGTGGTAAATGGATTGGATTCATGGATTGGTGGTGGATTGAATTGCTAGACTCTTGGATCTGTAGATCCAAAATTTAGGGCTGAAAATTTGCCTGTCCCGTCCCTGTCCCTGTCTGACCCGTCCCTGAAGGGTCAAGATGTATAACCGTCCCGTCCCGTCCCTGTCTCCTTCTTGACCCTGTCTGACCCTCAAGGGTTGGGACGGGACGGGACGGGTCAGTGGGTCGACCCTAATCAACACACCACTTTTTTACAAATTACGTTTTGCTACCCAAAATTATTTTTTCTTACAATTTAGTACCTAAATTATATTTTTTTTACAAATAAGTCCATAAATTTTGATGGTAAAATTACATTTTGGTACCCAAATTTTTTTATTTTTACAAATTAGTACCTAAACTTTTAAAACTTTACAAAAAGGTCCAATGAAGTATGAGATATTTGTTGTTGCTAAGTTGTCCCGACCCGTCCCGGCCCTTACAGGGTCAACAAATGACCCGTCCCTAATCTGTCCCTGTAGACAAACTGACCCGTCCCGACCCTTAGGGACGGGTCGGGACGGGTCAGTGGGTCTTCAGGGACCAATGTGTATCAAATGACATCCAATCGTTTGACCAATGTGTAAATTATGAAAAGTTTAGGTACTACATGTCGTAATAAAAAAAAAGAGTTACGTACCAGAACATAATTTTCCAATGGCGTTTTTCGTATGAAAAAGTAAATGTAATAGGTACCAAATTGTAAAAAAATTTATAGATACTAAGGTGTAATTTGTCAACGATCTATGAATCCACCAATCCAATTGGATTAGCTGGATATTTAAGTGGATGAATAAGATTCGATTGGATTGGATTGTAAATTGCCACCTCTCTGTCCGCCTGCATGCATGCGCAGACGATCCTTCACGATTGGGACGACGAGAAATGCTTGGAGATTCTGAAATCCTGCCGGGAGGCGGTCTCCGGCCGGGACGAGAAGAAGAAGAAAGGGAAAGTGATCATCATAGACATGGTGGTCGGAAACGGGGACGTCGTCGGGAACCGGGAGATGTACCAGGCGCAGTTCAGCTTCGATCTGCTGATGTTTGCTACTTTCAACGGCAAGGAGCGAGACGAGGAAGAGTGGCGGAGCCTGTTTCTAGCGGCGGGTTTCAGCGGCGGCTATAAGATCATTCGTTCACTGGGTCCGAGATCGCTCATCGAAGCCTATCCTTAGTGGATCGACGTCGTTTTGAGTTCTGAAGTTATCAAGTGTTACGACGATCTATGTGGTTGGCGGCTTGGAGTACTTTCCAATTCATCAAACCTTGTTTTCTATCATTCAATAAAACATTTTGGTCGGTTGTTTTATACCTAAGAGTTGGGCGCCGCATGCTTTAATTTTGTAACTGAGAGGTACTGTGGTTGAGACTGCACGGGTCTACTTCATAGCTCGATCGGCACGGTTTGAATCGTCTCATGCCTACTCATTTCTAACAATTGACGTAACGGCTTACTTGGTGGGGTTGAGGGCAACCACGTACAATTGCTCGTTTCTAACAATCCCAATTATAAATAGTCAATCTAAATTTTTTTCCTGTTTATAAACACCTCATTTCCATTTATTACCATCCAAATGGATGGTCCTAGTTATCATCTAAACCGTTCATTTACACAACAAATTTTTTCGTTTTCTAAATTTTTCTCGAAATGGTTCTAAATTTTTTCCTATAAATGGACCTCATCAACACTCTTAGTAAACAAATCATCCCTTTTCAAAACCTTTTTTTTTTCTCTCTCTTTAAAAAATCCATAAGGAAAAAAAAAGGGTTTTGGCACTTCCTATCTACCATCTTCGACCTCTCTTTCATCTCTCTTTCTCAGCCGGAAAATCCAGAAGAGAAAGAGAGATCTATTAACAGCCTCTCTGACGACACATATACATATCCATATTCATTGATCATCATTCCGAGAGAAAAAAGGAAGATTTTGTTAATTGCATTGTTGGTGAAATCAATCAAGTTAAGATGGCAAAGGAGATGATGAGAAGCATGAAGAAGCCATTGATGGAGGTTGCACCATCTCTACTTGGCTTTCAATTGAGACCTTCATCTTCCAACAATAGTTCTCCCAAGCTGGAGACGATTAGAGAAGAGAGAGCAGAAGATCACGAGGAAGGCGAAACTAATTGATTTCTTTCTTAATATTACTATAATTATGTGTTTTTTTTCCATGGCATAGGTAAGGTGTTTCAGCCGCCCTTGGTTATTTTTTCCCTTGTTTTTACAAAATGAAACCGAGAGACGTATATTCAAGTGTTGGATTAACAATATACTAAATCTAGTTATGTATAAACGTGTGTATATGTTTATGTGATCTATTTGTATGAATGTATCTTAAGTAAATTCAATGAAATAACTATTTTTGGAGTGTATATAACAATTTTTTTATTTTTTTTCCTATATTCATCACTTCTCCTCTCTAGCTAAATAGATACTCACTTGAATTCTAAAATTATCATTTTATCATATCAAAGTATAGCTAGTAACACAATAAATTGATCGGAATAGTAAAAAACGTGTTCTCCGACATATAAAGAATGATATAAGGAAGCTAGGTAATCGGCTACAAAGTCATTTTCGTGTATATATACATGGTCGAGGTGCTCCCGCTATGATAAAGCCAACAGGTGGTAAATCGTTGCTACCATTACAAAGCGTGGATGGAGACTGAATAAGAGTGTATGGTCGTCTGCGATTCATTCTACATAACAACCTTCTTAATCCTCATCAATAATTCAATAGTAGAGGCTGGATTTCAATTTTACAAAATCATTTTTCTTCTTCTTTTCATAGTCATTATCAATAATTCAAACAACTCTTGGCCATATCCTTTTGCCTTTTATTTATTTTTAATTGTAACTTTAGGTTGATTTGATTACACATTTGTTCATCTGGGAATCTCTAGTTCTCCATGTCCTTCCAAACTTCTTGTGAACTTTCGGTAAACAGAGGACTTACCCCTACAATGACCTGGAATTAACAATTAATCAAAGCAATATTCGTTTTATAATCTTTGGCAGGTCACATGGAAAATAATTATTTGTCACATGGAAGCTCATGTCCTTCACTATAATGGCATGGAAAGATGTATTACAATGCTACATTTTTTAGACTTGTAAAGCTGCATATATGTGATGGATATTAGCAACAAAAGTTGTAACAACAATAACTGGGTGGAACTTAGAAATCGATTCACTCGTATGGAGATTGAAGGGTATCCAATTCGAGTCTAGCAATCGTAGAATATCCTCGTTTCTCTTTCGAGATATGGTCTCATTCAAGATGGGATAAATGTTATAATTCGTTGTATTCTTTATAGCTATACCTTTTTTCTTGTAGTTTGCAAGCCTTTACCCCTGCCCTTCACACACACTTGATCAACATAATTCAAATTGCGTGACCGTTATTTATTTATTTCTCATATGTTGAATTTCTTACCACTGTCACTACCCTCTTAATAGTTCTTTTATTTTCTTAAAGTATACTCATATGGGGCAGTTTAGCAAACAAAATCAAAGTTGTAATTATATTTTCCCACGTTACTTAAGGACTAATAGGTTGTACATAAAGATCGTCTTTTTATTTTTATTTATACAAAAAAAAGTCATATATAGGAGTGTGCAATGGGTCGGTCCGGAATTGGACCGCACCGGACCAAATCGAAGTTTGGACCGGATCGCACCGGACCGAGTACAATGCGGTCTGGTCTTTGGTCAATATGAATTTTAGAATTACTAAAGAAATGATGGATTGAGTTGATATTTTGGATCGGACCAGACCGAATTAAATGGACCGCGAACACAATAATGATTCGATCCTTAATTCTAAGATGTCTTTCTCTAATAAATCGCGATTCTCATGAATTTGGTCCGGTGCAGACCGGACCGTTGCACACCCTACCATCTGTCAGTCCAGATGATTAACTCAGCTAAGGTCATAGATAGGAGACAATTTTTGACAACAACAACTCACCTTATTATTATTATTATTAAACAAATTCAAACTAGACCTTTTGGGGTTTAGGGTTAGGTATAAGTCCAGATAAGTAAGCCCTCCTGGCACCATAACCCCATCATCAGCCCACCATTATTCCCCACCTCCACAATCAATTCTTATCATTATCATCCTAATCATAATTAAGAACCCATTTGATCAGAATCAAAAGATATGCTAATTTATTGGATTAGGGCTCATAGATATGACATTTCCTTCAATTAGAAAAAGAACCAATGTTGTAGTTTCTTGTTTGTTTAAGGAACTTTTGGGACTTGGTAGAAAATGCCTTAGGACAGCTGCCCCTAATTGGTCTTTTCTTGTCTTTCGAGTTAACTTATCACAGTGGCCTGAAAACTTAAATTGCCGATATGCTCTACTGTGAATTCCCATCAACAGGGACATTTTCTTGGGGTGAAATCAAAGCTCTCAGTTTGCTACACATGTACACGATTCCAAAACTTCTCAATTTCCTGAAAAAAAAAACAAAACAAAATCCAATTTGAGTACCGGTGAATGACCTCCTTCGTTTGTTCCGATCGTGTATAAGATGGTTGCGATGTATGTGAGACGAGAACGTGCCCCAACCATTCATTTCGTTATGATGTTCAACGCGTGTACCACAATCGTCAGAATATGATAACTTTGAACATTTCATTAAAAAAGTACTTTTTTCTTGAAAACCCATAAGGGAACCCCAAACGCGAAACAATCGAGATCAATACTTAGACGGTTGGACCGACACATATTGAGTGTAATTATGACCGTTGTTCACTCACATGTTTGTGTTGAAATTATGGCCAGGAGGCTTTCAACGGTACTTCGTCCCTACCAAGCACCAAAAATTGAAACTACGATGTCCCTCTCCAATTCCTAATTAATCCCATACTCTAAGAGCCGTTGCAATGGGAGTGCGCCAAAACAGCTAATGGAGAAAGAAAAAGCTTTTCTTAATCGAGTGGTTGATACTCAAGGAGGAGTAGGAAAAAGAGAAAAACAAATGGTAATATGCAAAATCTAGGCTGTAATATAACATAAACAAAAGCTACATTATCGATGGTCGGCTAAATTATATTGTCTTAATTATGTCATCAACCGGCCTGGGAAGAAAGAACAAACTAATTACATCAATACTTCAATTTCTTATTTATTAAACTAACCTATCCTTTTATATGACACAATCCTCTTGGCGGCCACTCGCGGTCGAAAGTCAACTAACGAGCTTGAAGTCTACTCATGCCCACCATCACGTGCTTTTACGACAAAAGGTTAATATCGGGGGTCACGATGTTTTCAATAAGTGACATCGTGACGAAAAATCAGCTTGAATACCATATCACAAATCAATTTGTCTCAATAACTCGTAACTCTTTGGCTGATGATACAATTCCTTACATTTAAAAAAAAATTGGTGAGAAAATGGAGAAGACTACATGACTTTCTAATTAACCATTAATAATCATTGCTAATCCCTCCCCTCCCTAATCCAACTCTCTCTCTCTCTCTCCATAAATACCCTCTTCTCCACTTCCCACTTCAAAGTTCAAACCAAAAGACTACACTCTCACCCATCTCCTTAATCCCTTCTTTGATCAACCTTTCCCTCCCTCTTAAGAAGAAGAAGAAAAATGGCCAAGGACGTGGAATCCGACCACCCACCGCCGGCCTTCTCCGCCAAGGACTACCACGACCCGCCGCCGGCACCCTTGTTCGACCTCGACGAGCTCACCAAATGGTCCTTCTACCGCGCCTTGATCGCCGAGTTCATCGCCACACTCCTCTTCCTCTACATCACCGTCCTCACCGTCATCGGCTACAAATCCCAAACCGACCCATTAACCCACACCGCCGCCGACGCCGCCTGCGGCGGCGTCGGCGTCCTGGGAATCGCATGGGCGTTCGGCGGCATGATCTTCATCCTCGTCTACTGCACCGCCGGGATCTCCGGGGGCCACATCAACCCGGCCGTCACTTTTGGGCTCTTCTTGGGCCGGAAGGTCTCCCTCATACGGGCCGTGGGCTACATGGCGGCCCAGTGCCTCGGGGCCATCTGCGGGTGTGGGCTCGTCAAGGCCTTTCAGAAGTCGTACTACACGCGGTACGGCGGTGGGGCCAATGAGCTGGCGGCCGGGTACAATAAAGGGACCGGATTGGGCGCCGAGATTATCGGGACGTTTGTTTTGGTCTACACCGTTTTCTCGGCTACTGATCCCAAGAGGAGCGCCAGAGACTCCCACGTCCCCGTACGTCGTCGTAAGCTCGAATCGTATCGTCACATACGATTCGAACTTACAGTCGATAATACGCACGCGTATTTTTTTTCCCTAATCTGTTTTGAGTATGAAGTAATGTTTTTTTTCCCTTTGTGTGTGTGTGGAAATGTGAAGGTGTTGGCGCCGCTGCCAATTGGGTTCGCGGTGTTCATGGTCCACCTGGCGACGATCCCAATCACAGGGACGGGGATCAACCCAGCTAGGAGTTTTGGTGCTGCTGTTATCTACAACAAGGACAAGGCCTGGGACGATCAGGTTTGTGTGTCTCTTCATACTACGTAATCGAGAATCGATAAACCGATAATCTGAAAAATCGATAAACCCTCTTAACCGGTTCGGTTTCAGTTTCTAGTAGTTTCAGTTCGATTAACCGAACAAACAGAAAAATGACAACCCTTTATACAATAATCGAATTCGACATTACCCTTTAATTACCTATTATGAGTTGAAAATTTGAGAAATTTGTGATTAATCAAGTAATGGGTCGGATTTGGCTGAATGCAGTGGATCTTCTGGGTGGGACCTTTCATTGGAGCTGCCATTGCTGCGTTCTACCACCAGTTCGTACTGAGGGCAGCAGCAATCAAGGCTCTGGGTTCCTTCAGGAGCAATGCTTGAATTTGATTGATGATGGAGGGAAGTTTGTTTCAAGCTGTTATTGAGAAAGAATAAGGGCTAGCTCGCTCTGCACTGCAGCCTGCTGCAAATTTGAAGAGAGAAAGAGGCCAAGGAAAAAATGTAAATAAGGGTTGTGCTCCTCATGTTTTGATGAGGGATTGAATTCCATCTATTGCTTTCCCTTTTTACCCTTTTCCTCTAAATCTGTAGTTAAAAGTAAGTAAGTTGTGTTCTTCATTTGATGATGATGATGATTATCTCTTTGCTTTTGTTGTAATTTATCCATCTTCTGTGTGGGATTGTGGTGGTGGTGGTTGGGGGTTGGTTGTGTGTCTTTTCTGGTTGGCTTCCACCTAATCATGAAATGGGTCTGCCCTCTTTAATTATCTACATAATTAATCATGCCTTTCTTTCGTCGTTTGTAAAATCGTATTATAATGACAGGTCGACCGTAAAATGTTATTTGTAGAAGTTTAAATGAAAATACAATTAACGGTATAAAATGATTAAACAACAATTAAATCATGATTTCAACACAAAATAACATACAATACGTTTTCTATATAGCATCCGACACGATTTTACTATTCTCGTAAAATAGTTTATAATTAAAGTGTGAGATGTGGTTTCTTGATTGGTTTGGAGTGACCATATAATTGTCTTCACATGAAGAAAGCAAACTGCTCTCATTTGTCTTGATATGGCTAACAAGATCGATATATATTTCTCTACCCTGGATGTGAATATTCCATCGAAGATGATGAGGTATAGGAAACAGTGAAGGAATGAGAATAAATCAGTATAATATAAATTAATAATGCCAATAATTTGGATGAAATGAAAGATGGTCGTGGATGTCACATCCAGAACCAAAATTGAAAAGGGCATTATATGAGTAAACAAATTACTCTTTTTGCCTAAACAACATAAATTAATCCATAATTAATTATAAATTAAACAACACGAAAGAAGCTCTGTTGCTGTCCTTTTTAGAGATAGCGTCCTTTGATTTTGTAGGGTGGCTTCTCTAAGTGTTGCTTTGAGTGGGGTTTTGGGTAGAGGTTTCTAACTATTTTTTCTCTTGTCATTACTTGCAAAAAAAAAAAAAAAACACGAAAAAGGACCGACAAAATGACAAATCAATTGCAAAACTTTGCAGCCTCCCCGAGTCACAAATGATTTAGGACATCTTTTTCTCATCGGTCGTAAGGGAAGTACATTAATCCAATATATGCTTACAAGATGTATATGAAAGAATTAGTCGATAGCTAATGGATCCATTGTTTAACGAGCATTTAGGGATGTGAAACGAGTTGGTCCTTATCGAATCGCACCAGACCAAACCGACTATTTACTGGACCATATCAAATCAAATATAATGTGGTATATGGTCCCTCATTTAATGAATCTTATAAATACTGAAGAAATATGGAATGAATTAACATTTGGTGTTATGAGAGAGAAACCGAAACGAAGACGAAGTCGCCATCGTCTCGAAGACGGAAACCCTAGATGGGGAAGCGGAAGCGAAAAAAAAAGAAAGAAAGAAGTCAGAGAAAATGCTCTGATACCATGTTATGAGAAAGAAACCGATCGAATTTTATTTCACCAAAAGTAAAAATTACACTATTCAGTATTACATTTATATATTAGTTCTATTCTACTTAATTACAAAACAATACACAAAGTAAACAAATATTACAAATTGGTCCTATCTAATCTATATACTAACATTTGGACAGAACCAAAACAAACCAAATACACTCTGCAGTGTCCAATCCTTGATCACATGATGTCATTTATATTGACCATCGATTCTTAAGAATTTAGTTCGGTTCGAACAGCTGCACACCCATACATGCATCCAGACAAACGACAAACGGCAAAAGCCAGAGAATTATCAGCTTCACTGGTAAAACCAAACAAAAATGGGAGACAATGCAAAAGCTCACCAGTCACCACATTCATTGCTCTCTTAATTGTAGGTAGGTAGGTAGCTCGTCAAACAATATAAATATACATACTTCGAAATATTAACAGTACTTATAACCAAATCGTGCAAGAAAAATACGCACTTTGACCCCTCTCAAAATTACGGCTGAAATTAGGGATGACAATGGGTCGGGTCGGGTCAGGGACGGATATTGCATACCCGTTATCTTATCCAAGTAGTTCGGGTTTGTTTACCACTAAAAAAACCACTCAATACCATATTGATTATTTTCAAGGAGTGGTAGTGATTTATAAGGCCAGCTCAACATTAATGATTAAAAGAGCTAGTTGGGCCTTGTTGGGTTGGGTTTTTGGGCCTAAGTGGCCAAACCCCTTCTTCTCTATACGATGGCCGACCCGTACCCCATAGCCGGACGATGCCTCCACCCCTTGGTATGAAATTTGGCTAAGTGTTGAGACCCACAGCACAAGGGGGGTCATGCATGACACCGTCCAAGGGGGTCAAGCACAAGGGGGGTCATGCATGACACCGTCCAAGGGGGTCAAGCACAAAGGGGGTCGTGCATGATATCGTCCAAGGGGGTCATCGCTAGTACCCCTAGCCGTGGTGCAAGGAAGGCCAAAATTTGGCTAAGTGTTGAGACCCACAGCACAAGGGGGGTCATGCATGACACCATCCAAGGGGGTCAAGCACAAAGGGGGTCATGCATGATCTCGTCCAAGGGGGGGCTCGTCCAAGGGTGTCAAACATGATGCCGAGGTGAAAATTGGCTAAGTATGGAGATCAAACCACAAGGGTGTCAAGCATGACACCGTCCGAGGGGTGCCAAACAACCGGGTACCAAGTCGGGTACCAAATAGGAGGCCATCCGTGCTGAGACAAAATCGGCTAAGTATGGGGCAAGAGGGTACCATGCCTGCAAGGAGGGCTTGGTACCAAAACATTGAATTTGGCTAAGTATAGAGCCAAAGGGGTATCAAGCCGAAAATGCATGCTTGATACTAAAATACTTGAAAATTGGTTAAGTATAGAATCACATGGCCATAGCAAGAGGGTACCAAGCCGGCAAGGCATGGCTTGGTACCAAGACATGAAAAGCATGAATTTGGCTAAGTATGAAGCCAACGGGGTCGGCAAGACAGGCTTGGCAGCCAAGCAAAGCGACAGGGTACCATGACCCCAAGGGGGTATCAAGCCGGTAAGACTGACTTGGTGGCCAGGCAACAGGGGGCCAAGATGGACTTGATAGCCATACATCAGGGTATCAAGCCAACAAGACAAGAAATTCGACTAAGGCATGGTGGCTAGCTGAGGTGGCCACCCGACTAGGTACCAAACAACCATGTATGGCCCTTATGGGGCCATATGGAGACAAAGTCCCAAGGCCGACTTGGTAGCACCCTAACGGGGTACCAAGCCGGCATGGTGTAACTTATCAACTTGATGAGGCTACAAAGACTAAGTATGGAGACCAAGCCCCCAGGATTGGTGTCATGAGATGGTAGTCGTCTCAAGACGACAAGAGTGGGGAGTCATCAAGCAGCCGAGGGTGCGATCAAGACTTCATCATGGAGGCTAAACAAAGAACCTCAACCCCATCCAGTCATGACAGGGCGACGAGACGAGACCCCCAAGGCGACGGTTACCAACTAGTCACCAAGGCAGTGACAAGCGGCCCCTAAGGCGGTTGGAGCAAAAGGCCAGCTAGCAGTTACTACGACGGTTACCAAGGCAGTTACACCCAGTGGCTATAAATAGGAGAAACAAAGACGGGAAAAGGGTTCCACAACCAATCATTTGACACACTATGTCAAACTTTTTGAAACACCCTAACCCGGCCGGGTACTACTTTTACTAAAATGCCCTTGATAAATAGAATACTCAAATCTTAAATTGCAACTGGGAAAAATTTTCATAAATAAAATACTGAAAACACACACTTGTAGTTCAAAGCAAAGCCCTAACACGTGGGCAAATTAAACTCAAACTTTAAAATCTCAACTTGATCTCAAAATAATCTCCAGTCTGTACTCATAATCATAAAACATAATAACTAACTAGTCTCCAGTGTTGCTGCTTGTGCGAAAAACTCTGACTAGACATCCTCTGTGCCGCTCGTACCGTCCTCCTCTTGCTAGCTTCACTCGAACTCGCTGCTCTCTAACTCCTCTTAGCCCTCTTTAAAACTGGTGAGTGAGATGGGGTCAGTCTACGCCCTTACGTTTAACATCTTATTAATACTTGATCACTTAACTTAGTGAAAGTTGTTTTGTACCTCCACTATTGAAAAAAAAAATTGACTCTTGAAACTGTACTCTTAAAACTCAAATCTCTACTTAAGTTCTTGACTGACACGGGGATCCCTCACTAGCTAGTCCGGTTGCCAACTCATACGTATGAGAAGCCACATAGGCTTTCCTTAAACTTAAACTTAGTTAGGGAAGTCGTAACGATTCATCCCCCTAACATCTTAAACTTATCGTGGTGGCTCTTCACCACGATTCTCAAGGGCATAACTGTTGCCCCTCTTAAAAGTCTCAAGAGCATAACTGCTGCTCTATCTCAAAATGTCTCAAAAGCAACGGACTGGCACTAGTGACTAAAAACACTTAAAACGACTTCACCTTCTTGAAGGCGAGTTACTTCTTAAAAAGGACTGGCTTCTTAACTTAACGATAACTTATAAACTTGAAGCTTAAATTTAAATAAGAACTCATGCAAATTCACATCAAGCATAGCTCAACACAATCACATATCATCAATCATAAGCACAATCAAACAACGACATTCACTTCATCAAAAATACCCAAAACTTGTAATTCTTGAAAGAACCCGTAAGGCGTAGAATTTACCCCCTTTACACTCACCTCGAAAAGACGACCCTTCTTTACTGCTGGTTGATCCATGTCATCACTCGAGATTCCACGCTCCAACTCCTCGTATTTTGCCTCCTTTATCATTTCCTCCTATTAGATATTTAGGCAAAACTTAACTCACTTATCTCCAAACGTAACTAACCAAACGACCTTCAATTTGGTAAATTTCAATCCCAATCTCCTCCATTTAATCTTTCCTAAGATTCCCCATAAAATTCTGGAAAATTACCTTTTTGCCCCAAACTGGAAAATTACCAAATGGTACTCGAAACTCCTAGGTTTTACAATTCGGCCACAAATTTCCAGAATTTCACAAATCAGTCCTCTAGGCCAACTTCCACTTTCTGATTTAAACATTTAAGCCCAAAAAGGCTTATTTCAATACGGTACCCAAACATTCACTAATTACAACTCGCCCCAAGTCTGATCAATTACTTTACGGCACCCAAACTTATTAAATTTACCAAACCGCTCCAACTCCTAAAAGACATATACGCCCCTAACTGTTCATCAAATTTATAGAACCATGCCCTTGAATTCCAACGAAACAGGAGAGCCGCCTTACCTCCCCATCGTCGCCGTCGAACCCCACGGCTT